AGGCTAATTGGATTGGTCATATCTTACGCGGTAACTGCCTTCTAAAAGAAGTTATTGAAGGAAAGATAGAGGGGCGGATAGAAGTGACCAGAAGACGAGGAAGAAGACGTAAGAAGATGCTGGATGACCTTGAGGACAGAAGAGGATATTTTCATTTGAAGGAGAAAGCTCTAGATCGCATCAAGTGGAGGAACTGTTTTGGAAGAGACTGTGGACCTGTCGTCTTGACAGATTACAGATGAATGAATGAATTAAGAGGATAATGGGCTATAATGATAAATGAACTGAAAGTCATAGCAGGCTTTGTCATGATGGCGATGAAGCTTTGGTTTCTTGAAAAGGATTTTGGTGAAACAAAAAGGCCCAGTACTTCAGAATGTCACTGAACAATCAGAAGCACAATTACTGATTTGAATTTATAGTGTATATTCATATTATTAAAGTTGAATCTGTAATCACTTTGTAGGACACTGATGTGTAACATGAGGAACTAATGCCAAGATAAATTAACGTAACAAATATTTAATTTTGTTTCATCAAGATGATACTAAATCTTGGAGTCATTAGCCTATGCAGATCCTCAGAACTGGGCCTGAAATCTCATCTGGGGTTGAGTGGTTAGTTTTGACAAATACACAAATCACTGGATTAAAATAATAAACAGGAATGTAAACAAAATGCTGAAAACATTTTATTTATAAGAGCAATGTTTCCTTTGCAAGCTCATGGTCATGATGGCAATGTCTTTTCAAAGTTATGTTCGTTGGGTCTGAACTATACTGAAAACATTAGTAAACAGAGCAGAATGCTTCTCTCTCACTGGGCCCTGCTTGTTCATTCACACATCACTCAGTATTACAAAACATCTCCACAATACTGCTGGATGACTATAGACATTTGATTAGGCCCTCTCAGCCTTCTTAATTACTATTATAGGATATAAAGTATGAAAATCATTCATTCCTAAGTCAAGGGGGAGAAAAGATATTGTCAGTACAAGTATGTTGCAGAAATATTCATAAAACAGACTGTTGTACATTACTCGTGTGTCAAAGCAAATATGGTGATCTATATCATTGTCATTAAGTACCACTGAGCCTAAAAATCTGCTTATTAATAATATCAACAAATCAAGTTACAAGCAGTCCACAAATGTGTAAGTAGATTAATATAAATAGCAGGTCCAACAATGTAAAAATCACTTTCCAAAACAAAATATTACAATGGTATTTTGTGCCTAGTTGCTGGGTTCATATACAGCATCAAATTTATAACACATGGAATACATGAAGTCTTAATAAAGACAGTTCAGTGAGACCTAGACCCCGAACTATGTGAAAGGAGTACAACATTGCCTGCTTGTGGCATAACCATGGTAAAGTTAAAAGGTAAAGTTGTCCCTGTGCTTAATTAGTTAAGCACTACATCATGAAGAAATATGGGAGAGTGGAGGTATAGCTCCTACTGTGTGAACTCACTGTTATAGCCTATTTCCCACCTAAAGGCACGTACTTCCTGTCTTCACATAATTCGGATCATTAGAATTTCTTCTAGGCAATAACCAAGTTGAAAAAGACACTACATACATATTATGTAATGCAAAGAAAACAGTCATAGGAGCAAGCAATGGGCAGAAAGTTTGCCCTTCCCTTGTAAGTCTAATTCATAACTGCAAAGTTGCAAATTGTTTATCATACATATCACGGTGCTTTACTTCTGCAATATTGTGTCTGCCATTGCTGCTTCTATCACACTGCAGAAACTGTTCTAGTCTCTCCTAATGACATTACTTGCTCATAACATTAATTTATTCTGTTCACGTTACCTGGGCAATCATTGCATGTGTCCTTCAGGTTTACAAGATTTTATATTCAGCTTCACACATCTATGATGAGTGTTAAATAAGTAATTTCCTATGGTGTGTGACACTCCCATTTAGTTCTTCAACATACGTGTCAAACAAAACAAAGCAAAGCAGACAAAACCTCCATTTCTCAAAATAATTCCCATGGAAACTTGAGATAATTGGCCCAGCAAATACACGGCCTGCTCAATTCCTGCAGAGAACAACAGACCCAGTGTTTACATCCACCAGCTCACTCTGTCTTCCTTCTAGTGTATTCACCGTTACCCTGTGGTCCAGGAACTGAAGGAGAATACAGTGTATTTCCCTGCACATCCCTGCAGGCTGCTGGGAATGTCTTGCCTATCCACCACTCAACTCATAGCTTACCAGCAGCAGTGTCTACTTCTGTAGATCACTAAAGAGACACTCTGGAGGAAAAAATTTCTGACATCATGATGGAATGAAAGCTGAAGTGTGCTGGAAGATGAAAACACTGAGTCTGTATTTCTTCTCCATGGGAATCAAACATGAGATGTATCACCAGAACTTCTGTCTCAATCAATCTGGTATTTGTGCAGAGAAATAAAGGGACCATTCATTATTCCTTGGGGGTTTATATGTTACTGAACAGCCTACGTATAATTACACAGAAGGATAGAAATAATAAAATGCAACTGTGCTATTACAAGTGGCACATATTCTATTCAGCCTTTCATATAAGCTAAATACTTTAGATTATATTTTCTCACATAAATTTACATTCTTTCTATGGATATGTTTAAAAATACTCTTTCTTTTCATATTGGTCTTTCTTGCTTTACTCATGAACAAACTGATTTCCTATCAACCTCTCACAATATATCATTAGTACTACAATTGCACTGAAAATTATAGTTCACAAAGGATTTGTTTCAAGGCTGTAAGCAGAGGGTAGATCAAGATTCACCAATGCATGGAGAAACATTGCACTTGTCAGTGAGAAACTGACAAGACAGCTTTTATTGTGAAATTCATTAATTATGAAACCAGGATTTATGACAAGACATGGAATTACCTGATGCCAACTTTCCTTAAATGTATGCTGAAGTCTATTCAGTGAAACCTCAACTTCAAGTTCCAGCCAACAGTACCTCAATGTGCATATTTTACAGTATATTTTCTGATATGCAATGGCATTTACACCTACAGCACATCTTCAAAATGGAAAATTTAAATAATGACACAAAAAATGTAAAAAGAATAATGTAACTTCCTTAATCTGAGACCTATCAAACAAGGGATCAGTGAGATAATGCCCCCCCAACTTAAAGCAAAGGATGTTATACCTAGTCATTGCTATCACACATCTCAGGCCATGATGACAGATGAGTACAGAGCAATGACAGAGGGAAAAATGTAACTGGAGGAAATATAACATTAAGTTAATGGGACTGTGACCATATGAATTTAATCCTGAAGGAGGCAATGGCATATACTGCATGGAAATTTTCTTTGAAAAGTAATTGAAATTTACTGCCCTGGACAACAACCATTTCCTTCCATATTGAACTCTAGACAGACTAATATGTAATACTATCAAAAATGAATGCAATACAAACTCTGAATTAATTAATTTCAAATACCAATAAGACATCACATTAAGGTTTCACTGCATGACAACAACAAAGTACGCACACAAGAAAGGCAGTATAGAAAAGGGGCCTGAAACACATGGAGTAGAGTTAGCATGTTATCTATAAAGATGGTAGTTGATGAGCAATGTGTCAGAAAGTGCTCGCACTGACAAATTCCATTCATGGCCTCTAACGTTTGAAAATGATGTCACTTTTTTATTTTTGATAATATGGAAATTTACATCATAGCAAAGAGGTACATCATAATTTACAACCCAAACTTTTAAGTAGATTTTAAAGAATTCTAACGATGGCCTATAACACTTTTTTTATTGCTAGTGGGGTGGGACTAAGTCCCTTGTACTGCGGCCACTTCTGGCCTATTGTACCAGCCCCAGATGATAGGCGAGGGTGACTGTGGAGCAATTGGTGGAATGAAGATAGGAGAAAACCTGCCCCAGCGCCACTTTGTCCACCATAAATCCCACCTGACCAGACCCGGGATCAAACCCGGGTCGCCATGGTGGGAACCAAGCAACTAACAGCTTGAGCTATGGCGCAAACACTTGGGGTTACTGGGTTTTGGGATCCTGACCATCATCTGGTATTCTAAAAAACTAGAGAACAGAAGGTTTCAGAAACTGCCTGTTTTCACCATCATGTTAAAAGGGAGACACCTACTCCGTTGGGTCCCTTAGAAAGAGCTAATATAAATCACTGGACAACCTACATCAATATAATTAATGCCCGAGACCAGGCTTTGTCAATGGGAGATAACAGGAAAAATGTACAAAAAAAATTGTGATAAAGCATGCACAGTCCTGAAACTAAGATAGAGAAGTGGCAACTTTATGCAACAAACTGAGTCCATGAAAACCAAACCATAGAATTAACTGGAGAATGGCATGAAGCCACTTTTTGCCTACTGCTGGCACCATTTGTGGAATAAAAACTTAACCCTTGGGACTAAAATCCGTGAGAACCCCAAGAATCTGTAAGATCATACTAATTTTCCTTGTGAGTTGCTAACCTCAATGCTGATAAGGGGGATCCAGATGTGAGAAATGTCCAAACTGGGCTGGCTCATCAGATTGTGTAAGCATGCCTTATGGGCAAATTCCTCTATTTCCTGTACCTGCTGCTACTTTCAGTTGATATTTGGTATTAATTTTTTAAGTATAAAATGCTGTTACACATTTTAATTTCCAGAGAAGCCTTCAATATTGTCAGCTAATTTAATCATAACTTCTATTTCTGAGTAATTTTTAAAAGTAAAAAGTAAAGGTATCCTTGTAACAGGCCGTGAAGGCCCATAGGATTGCGAGACGTTGAGGGTCCCACATTATCTAGACAATCAGCTCACAGATGGCAACAATGCTGTCAGCCCTACATGCCAGCCGCCCTTTACCCCCAAGAATATTCCTGGTACTCGTCTCTGTTAGAGGCTGAGTCGACCCCAGGGCCATAGTGCGGCTGGAAGGATTAGGTAAATTGAAAAAATCCAATGACTTCATCAGGACTTGAACCCGTGACCTTCTGGCTTGTAGAGCATAGTACCTCAACCAACTACGCTACGGCGTGCCCCCAATTTTTAAAAGTACTACATTTTTTTTCCTGTAGAGTTATCCAAGTCTCACTTCATCCATAGCCTGTTAGAACCATGGCACCAATCGTGACTTATTAGAGATGAAACTCAAGCAGTTTATTATATTATTTATATTACTCAGATAATAACCCACAGAAATCAAGCATACAAATCTTAACTGCGGGCAGAATTTGAAAATGAAATTAAAATGACATTAATATAACCCACATGTGATTATTGCTTGCACTAGAAGAAAGCAAGAGCTATGCTGACTTTCCACATTGTGATCTTCTGTGCTGTGACACCCAGTAGTCTGGTAGGTGTTTATGTATATTTCAGAGGAAAATATTCCCTCCGTTTGTGCCCTAAATGCGGAGGCAGTATGCTGCTCCAAAATACTGATACCCCTATCACATTATACAGTACCATAACCTAGAAGCCCACAATATGAATCTTTGCTGCTGTGAAAATCTCTAATCTCATATATACTGTTTCTGTTTATGGAAGCCAAAATACACTTATTAATGTTGTGACCATACAGTAAACATGGATTGAAGAAAGTGTTTGCAAGCTCATAAACACAGATACTTCATGTCATGCAGCCTTCAAATAAGCATTCACACTGCAATGTGGCCAACAGATAAAATGAGTTTCAGACCCCTTACACTTAACTTCATACATTCCATATAACTACCTTCATCATGAGAGCTACCTCAACATGTCTTCTCACATGTTACCAGAACAATTTTATATCAGTGAATGAACTGTTGATATCGAGAAAGTGGCTGTTTCGGGTTCTGTATAGCATGCTGCCACAGCACTCCTACACTTTATCCTTTAGCATATAGCCTCTTCAGCAATATCCATTTATTACTTTTATAAGCTTTTATGAAAGCTGGAAATAACTCTTAACAAGATTTATTTTAAGCTGCTTTCTGAAAGCGGCCAGTGGTGGGTCATTCAATGACATCACACCCCACAACACAACAGAATTTTTTCACGTTTTATGATTATAATATATAAAATTCTATGTTCTTTTAAAAAGTCACATAATAAGAGTACTTACAAAAAAGTGGAAAACAATAAAAAAATTCTTTTAAAATTGTACACATACACAATACACTCACAAAAATCGCAATACTCACACTATTTACAAATAATAAAGTACAACGTAATAAAAATATGCATAATAACGATTTGTTCCTCTGTCAGAATGTTCTGCACCATTTCGATTTGCTTTTCTATAAAGAAAGTAGCTAGTACCATTGTTTATAATGGAAAAGAAGCTGAGTTCAAGGGCTAAGTACATTTTAATTAATAATAATAATAATAATAATAATAAAAGCATTTTCATACTTCCATATAAAAAGAAACATAACATGTGGCTGCTGCCAACCACAGAATACCACCACCATTAACTACCCTGAAGCCTCAGCTGTTGTCCTTTTCTATATTTGGATGTGAAGGCACATTAAAACCTGCAAAATTAAATATTCAGTCAATTACAACAATTGAATACACCCTGATATACTTTTAATATTGTCATAACCATACAAACACTATGTTTCTATGTACCATCAATGTCAAAATGAAATGTACATAGCTGCCAGTGGTAATATGTTGATAGAACACACTCATCATTCTAAATACTAGTTGGAGGTTGGAGAAAAATGTATAATGAGGAGTTTCACAACTTGTACTCTTCTTCAAGTATAATTAGAATGATGAAGTCATGGAGGATAAGGTGGGCAGGGCATGTAGCACGAATGGGGGAGACGAAGAATGCATATATTGGTGGGAAAGCCATACCACTGGGAAGACCAAGGAGTAAGTGGGTGGACAATATTAAAATGGATCTCAGAGAGATAGGATGGAATGGTATAGATTGGATTGATCTGGCTCAGTATAAGGACCAGTAGAGAGCTCTTGTGAACACGGTAATGAACCTTCGGGTTCCATAAAATGCTGGGAAATTCTTGAGTAGCTGCAGAATCGGCTGCTCCTCCAGAAGGGCTGAGCTCCATGAGTAAGTAAGTAAGTAATTATGGGATATACCATGACATAAAATTATATGTCACAATTAAATTTTTAAGCTCTGCACTACAGTGTTCCCACCCTTAACATGAAAATCATCAACAGTTTGTGGAAGGTAGGAATCATAAACATGGATAGAAGCATCAGGGTAGTTAACCTGACAAGACAATATTACTATACATTCAGTACAATGACATGTTATGCAACACTTTTGCTGTCATGCATCATCTCATCAGCCATCAGCTGACTCACCCGCCGCGTCACTGCTGGTGGGGGGGGGTTCTCTTTTGCGCAACATGTCACAATATAAAATGAAACTTAAAGTACATCATCAGTTCACTTACATTAAGTATTTTGATCTATAAGAATGAGCTTCCCTAGACACTCACTTGTGGCACATTTCAGTGGTCCCCTCTCAACAATTCCATGAGCAAGTTGAAGCTAGGACCTTCACCTTCCTTGTTCTTTATAGATAGCATCTCCTTACCAACCTGAAAACATTAAAAAAATTCACTTACATTCAATATAAACATAAAAGCATCGCTTCATATAGTAGAGTCACACATTCAGTGTTCAATCTAGGACATAAATCAAAAAGAAAACTACCGTAATATGTTAATACAGTGAAAGGTTATTAAAATGAAACAGCAATTTAATACACATTATTCTTCAAATATCAAGTACACAAGTGTATAATATAAAACAATCCTTAGGCTGAAACACCATTTCATAAAACCCATACAGATGGAGTGGAGATAAAGCTAAACACATTCTTAAATTTTATCCCATAATTAAAAAACATTATATATACACAATAGGTGGATTTCTATTCCTTGGGGGGGGGGGAAGGCAGATAGGCACACAGTTATCCTACTGAGCTCGATTAGCCTGGTGGTAATGGAAATTAATCTGATTCTCATTAACAAACAAACAGCTCCAGGGAACAAGCAGACTGCTTCTGGAACATCTAATAATTACCCAGCTACTCCATAGACTATCCCATTTATTAATAACTTGAGAACACTCCATGCTATTGTGACAAGGAACCCACTTATTTGTCTTATCCATCACTGTGGGTCCCTCTATATAATAGTGAAGCTTTAAAACTTTTCTTCCTACCAGAGGACTCCACAGAAGCTGAAGTAATCACACTGCTGGGGTGGGGGGGGGGAGGAAGTTTCATTAAATTTGTTCTGTACAAAAGATCTCCTGGCAAGTGATTAACCAACCTGGCATGTCCTCTGCAACTCAGGAATCCGAAGCAACAATTCTCCAAATTTGGAAGGAATCTCGGGATAGTGAGCAAGTGTGTAATGTTGCAAAGCCTGCAAAGCCTTTTCCTGAGATGCACGTACCTTCTCTGCCTCTCGCAAGTCACTTGCATCTGTAAATTAAACAATGCTGTATAAATTTGTGAGATCAGACAAGAGGGACAGATAGGGGCATGGAAAAGGTGAAGGCTACATCTCCAAAAACTTCAGAAAAACTACAAAAACTCTTGACCAGCATAGATGGTTGTGAACAGAATTTTACGTATGTATGTCCTAACTTCGGAACAGGACACAAAATTCAGTCATAAATGTACAGTTTAGCCAGAACTTATATGAACGGCCTCATGGTAACTAGTATTCCACAGTTTACCATGACTCTCAAGATGAAATGTCACAATCCATGAAGGAAATTTATGCACCAACAATTCTTAAAGAGCACAAACACACACACGTTAAGCTGGAGGTGGATTTTAGACATATACTTCCTTTGCACTGTGACTGCCCCCAATCATACATACATACATTTCATTTCATAAGTCCAAAACAAATGGACATAAAGGTCGACATATCAAAAAAACAAATACAAAAAAATTAAACAAACACACAGATAACAGAATAATTAAAACTAATTGTTTATGTTATGCTCCACATATTCAGAAACTGTATAAAAGGAATTATTCATAGGATATAAAGACAGCTTATTTTTAAAACTAATTCTATCCTCTTTAAGGCTTTGAATGGTTATGGGCAATCTGTTGAATAGTTTAATAGCCGTAAACATAGTACCTTTCTGAAAAGCAGAAAGATTCGAGTTTGGCAAATATAATTGCTTTTGATTTCTTGTATTCAAACCATGAACATCTAAACCTGAAAAAAATTTAGTTTGATTAACAATCACAAACATCATCAACAAGAGAATGTATTCACATGACAATGGCAGTATATTCAATTTCTTAAAAAGATCCCTACATGAGTCTCTAGGTCCCACTCCAGATATAATCCTTATTACTTTTTTTTTTGTAATTTAAAAACTCTAATATTATTTGTTGAGACGCCCCAGAAAATTATTCCATACTTAAGAATAGAGTGGAAATAAGAAAAATACACCATTCATAAAATTTTTTTACTCATAAAATAAGATAAACTCCTAATTACAAAATTAGCTGAACTAAGTTTAGGGAGAATATACTCTACATGACTCTTCCTATCCAAATTCTTATCAATTTGCAGACCCAAAAATGTTATCACAGGAACTTCATTCATAAACAAATTCCCGCTAGCAACTGCCAGATAATCATATATAATAATATTAGTTTTAGTGATATTTAAGGCCAACTTATTAGCTGTGAACCAATAAGTGACAGTGTACCCATGACTTTATTCTTAAGCTCAGCATGATTATCACCAGTAACCAAAATACTGGTATCATCAGCAAAAAAGAAAACCTTTAGCCAGTTTATTAATATATGGAGGCAAATCATTAATGTAAATAATAAATAGAAGTGGTCCCAAAACCGACCCCTGAGGAACCCCTTGCTTAACTCTTTCACAAGATGAAAATAGTCCTGACCATCATTAGTTTTAATGTACACTCTCTGTTTTCTATCCAATAGATATGATTTGAACCACTTTAATATACCACCCCGGACACCATAATGGTGAAGATTCTGAGAAATGCAAATAATGTGAGAGGAAGCCAAAATGAAATCTAAGACACCAACCATAGAATTCTGGTGGAGTCCACGTTTTCACCGGAGGTCTCAATGGATTGCGGATACAAGAAACACACCCATGAAAACAAAGACTCCATGCCAATTACTGCAGTAGCTAATACACAATTTTATCAAGACCACAACAAAAACAGAATTCTGGTACAGCCCACGTTTTCACTGGAGATCTCAATGGATTAGGGATACAAGCAGCATCCCACATGAACTAAGATTCCATACTAATTACGTAGGTGAGTCAATAAGTAAGTTACAAATTGATGTGGGGTGAACCGTTACCTACCCGGACTGTAACCAGTCCGAAATTTCAGGAGAGGGAAAGGGGGAGGAGTTCATTCACTTGTTGTTGTGGGAAATACACACACAAATCGAGAGCTATGCTGACTGAGTTTAACAATTACAATAATATAATAACGAAATAAATATACATTTAACAATAATAAAGGAAAAAACATATGAAGTGAATACCAGAAATAATATTACAAAAAACCTAGCATGACCCACTCCGGCCATTCAAGCCAATACCTTATTCATGGGACACCGCCCATTTCACTGACCATTTAATTTCACAAACCAAGGAAAGAAAAAATAATATTACTCACATGTGTATATATATACTCACAGGGTACCCATATATTTATATAAAACACCTTTGCCTCGCCATTGCTCCATAGCTCGGCAAAGGGGCCCTCTCCCAGGACACACGGCGCTGACTTCCAAAAATAAATTTAATTTTGAAAAAGAAAGGAAACCAAACAGAAATTTCTAAGAGCAGAGACAACCACCCTGCACGACCGCCATCCAGGGAAAGAGAGCGATCGTTCGTGTCATCTTGCCACGACAAGGAAAGGAGGAAGGAAAAAAGAGGGGGAGGGTCACGTGACAACATTGAAAAGAACTTTACAAGAAATATATGAGCATTGGCTGTGGTTGACTGCAATTCCATGACGCCTTTCATGGGGCAAACCCTTTGAATCGTCTTCAGACGGTTCAGCGGTATGACATGTTTGAATGAGGCACTTGAGGCTATCACCATTAGATGGCAGCATTAGTCCAGTGGCAATTGATGACATTCAACACGAGACAATCGATGATTACCAAAGCGAAACAGAAGCTGTAAGTTGGCGGCACCTCTGAGTGAGTGTGCAACCCTCAAGCAGTGTCCCGTTGTGCGATTTTTGTCGGCAAAAGGTATAGAATCAAAGAATATTTATAAAGAAATGCTTCCCATCTATGGTGAGAAGTGCCTGCCATGTCAAGCTGTTTACAATTGGGTGCAGAAGTTCTCTGAAGGGCAGACACGTATCGAAGACGAACACCGCGTCGGCTGGCCAAAAGAGATTGCCACAGAGGCAAATGTGCAACAGGTTCAAGACTTAATACGAACAAACAGAAGGGTAACTATAGACACTATAGCCACTGATATTGGTTGTTCACACGGCATGGCCTACCTCATAATGCATGACAGGTTAGGTTTTCACAAAGCATGTGCACAATGGGTGCTGCACATGCTGACCTCACAACACAAAATGCAAAGAATGGGTCTGGCATTACAGCATCTCAGTCACTACCACGATGAAGGACATGATATGCTAGCCCAAACTGTCACATGTGATGAGTCTTGGGTTCAATATTACCAGACCGAGACAAAGTGTGCGTCAATGCAGTGGAAACGTCCTGCGTCACCTGCCAAAAAAAAAAGTTTAAGGTGACACCATCCTCCAGAAAAGTGATGCTCACAACTCTTCTGGGATCATGAAGGCATACTGCTCACTGCATTCCAGCCTCAAGAACAAACCGTAAATGCCAACTCCTACTGTAACATCCTAAGGAAACTTTGTAAAGCCATTCAACAAAAGTGACCATGACTCCTCACCAAAGGCGTGTTGCTCTTGCATGACAACGCACGTCCCCATACTTCCAACGAGACAAATGAGACGCTGCAAAGTGTCAAGTGGGAAGTCCTCGAGCATCCCCCATATAGCCCCGACCTTGTTCCAAGTGACTTCCATTTGTTCGGCCCTCTTAAACATCATCTTTTGGCTGAACATTTTCCTGACACTGAAGCTGTAGAAAGGGAAGTCACCGCCTAGTTCTGACAGCAGCCCAAAGAATTTTATGCTGCTGGTTTTCAGGGGCTTGTGAAACAATGGGACAAGTGCCTCAATGTACAGGGGGATTATGTTGAGAAATAAAAGTATTTTTCAAATCAGTACTCTTATTTGTTTAAGTTCTATATCCATTTGTAACTTACTTATTGACTTACCCTTGTACTATACTACTTTCTTCTTTTCCTCATGGAAGTGATAAACTGTTGTTAGCATAACTAACAAGGCTGTGTAATATTTATTGCTATTTGCATGTTACATGATCCTTATAAGACTAATAATACTGCAACCAATATCCAGACACACTGGGCAATAATGACAAAATCTCATGACTTTCTGATATTATATTTTAGCGTCCTGTTGCACTGATTTAAGTCCATGATTTATTTAATCCGTCTTGCAGTGCATACACTCATTTATCTCCTTCTCTCCCTCGCACTACATGTTTCGGCATAATAATGCCATCTTCAGGTGCTTACTTATCCACGTCAAACCAGTTCATTGCATGCCATGTTCACACATTAAAATAACTAAAATATGTATCTATCATATACATTGTCAAACGTTAAAAATATTAAAATTGTTCAGGATACCACATCGCTACGTCGCCCCTCACTACGTCAGTCACGCCCATTCTCCTTTGTTGGAGCATTCCTTCATTATCTTGTGTGTTGTGCTTTTGTTGTGTCGTGCTCCTGCGACTGCTTTTGTTATACTGTTTTATTTTTAATATTAAATTTAATAAATATTTTTAATATTTTTAACGTTTGACAATGTATATGATAGATACATATTTTAGTTATTTTAATGTGTGAACATGGCATGCAATGAACTGGTTTGACGTGGATAAGTAAGCACCTGAAGATGGCATTATTATGCCGAAACATGTAGTGCGAGGGAGAGAAGGAGATAAATGAGTGTATGCACTGCAAGACGGATTAAATAAATCATGGACTTTCTGATATGACTGCATTGAAAATGTGCAACTTTTTGGTTAGGTAATATCTATGACCAAACTAGTTTTTACATCTCTTGGACCTATAAATGTCTTGCCAGTGGGGAATACTGCCAATAGCATCATGTCCCTTATTAAAAGACTTTACCCTCTGTCACATTATGCAAACAATGAGTACCTTATATAATTGTATTTTGAACTAATCTGTACACAGTGTTTATTAAACACACGCACAGATGTTATTTTTTTAATATAAATGGGACTTCCTCACCTTCTGGCCAGAGGTTTTAGTGACAATCATAAAACACCTGAACACTGGTTGGGCCCCAATTTAAAAATTATTTAAAAAGTTGGAATGAAGATTTCAGTAACATCTAAAAAAGTAGACTTGAAAGGATTCTGATGATGGTGTATGCTGTACAGAACTGTTAGGCTTATTTTGGACTCTATCCATTGTCTGGTATATAGAAGACAAAAAACCACAACGTTTTGGAGACTGGATCTGTCTCCGTCCTCAGGTGGATGGGGCAGGATAAACCTATTCAGTTGGGCCCATTAGAAAGAGCTAGTCTCAATCACTAGACTCCTTTCTAACGGGCCCAACTGAGTAGGTTTATACTTCCCCATCCACCTGAGGACAAAGACAGATCCAGTCTCCGAAACATTGTGGATTTTTGTCTATATACCAGAGCATGTCTCAATCACTAGACCTCTTTCTAATGGGCCCAACTGAGTAGGTTTATCCTGCCCCCACCTGAGGAAAGAGACAGATCTAGTCTCTGAAACATTGTGGTATTTTGTCTTCTATATACTAGACAATGGACAGAGTCCAAATTAAGCCTAACAGTTTTGTACATTTAAAAAAGTCTCCCATAATACTAGCATGTCACTTTACCAACCATGCATACTGAACATTCTGGCAAGAGCAAGAAGTAAATTTGATGACATACTTGTATGTTTTCTATGTCCACAACAGGAAACACCTAAGTTACATTTTTAGTTTCTGTATCAAGAGCTGCTGGACACAATTTTCAGCACTGAATGTGATTTGAGTGTTTTTGAACAGGGAAATGAGAGACTGCAATGGCAGTTATATGTCAAAATAACTAACTGAATAACTGGAGCAACAGCTGCAGGAAATCTATAGAAGGGCTTGAGGGCATGCATATACGAGGGTCGTACTGAAAGTCATGAGCAACAATTTTTTGTAAAGTAACATGCTTTATTATTGACAAACCAAACACACAACCTCAATCTACAGACCTTTCTTTATTTTTCCACATAATCGCCACATCTTTGTACACATTTTTCCCAGCGTTCTGAGAGTCTGAAAATTCCCCTTCTGTAAAATTCCGTTCCAGCCATCCGAAGACACTAACACACTGCTTTCTGAATTGCCTCCCTTGTCTCAAAACGTTGTCCATAGAGCTGATCCTTCACGAATCCGAAAAGATGGTAGTCAGAGGATGCCAGATCAGGGCTACAGGAGGGGTGTGGAAGAACTTTCCACCCCATCTTTGCAATTGTTTCCAATATGAGGCAAGCGGCGTGGTGGCGAGCATTGTCATGCAGGATGATGATGTTTCGTCCCGGACGTTTATCGTGCAATGCACGACGGAGCTTGCACAGCGTCTGAACATAATGAGCAGCACTGATGGTTTGCCCAGGTTCCAGGAATTCAGCCAGAATAAACCCCTCTGCATCCCAGAAGACTGTGCCCATCACCTTCGCAGCTGATGGCACTGTCTTTCCCTTCTTTTTGGATGGAGAATGCAAATGGTGCCATTCCATACTCTGCCGTTTTGTTTCAGGCTCGAAATGGTGAAACCAGATTTCGTCACCTGTCACAATACAGAGCAGAATGTCAATATCTCTGCAGCAGTTCTGAGGTGATGGTTTTTCGCTGACCTTTGTGGTCTTCAGTCAATAACCGCAGGACCCAACGAGCACAAACTTTCCTATAGCCCAAGCTTTCAATCATCTCCTGTACTGCACTGTGCCCTATTCCAAATTTTTGGGCTATTGTGTCCACAGTCACACGAGTCATCTTGAATGATCTCATCCACTCTTTCCTTGTTGTGTTCAGTTGAGGCTGTTCAAGGATGGCCACTCCGAGGATCATCTTCGATGCTGGTGCTCCCATCTTTAAAATGTTTCACCCATCTTCGAACACTGCTCGCACCCATGCACACACTTCCATAAGTACGCTGAAGTCTCTGGTGAATTTCTGCAGCAGGGATTTCCTCTTTCACAAGAAATTCGTTGACAGCACGCTGGCAAAACGACATGTGGTTGTCGGCCATTTTGTTAGGAGTGATACTGCTCATGTGATGCACGTTATTGATGTCACAAGACACTAAAGGTTAACACAACAGCTGGTTCCACCTACCACCGTACTCTCTTTCGTCTGCTGTTCCCAGGTTGCATGCAAAAAAAAAAGTTGCTCATGACTTTCGGCACAATCTACGTAGTATACACACACAAATAATGCCTTAGATCTATGACTACTACTGTCATAAATCCTCTTACAGAATGATCCACATAGTGACCCCGTACACCTATCCTGAATGTTAAAAATAGTGAGGGAGGGCAATTTGTGAGTAAATATCATATTACCATTACCATATTACCCTGGGTAGTGCAAAATGAGCAACAAACGTGGCAAAGCTTCCCAAAAGAAAAGTGCAAACTTCTTCAAGATGCAACAAAGCAAGAACTTGAGTGCTCTCTACTGGGAAGCAAGAAGCAAAATGGGTTGAGTGACCCTAAATGCAGCCATTGGAAAACAACCAATATCACAGAGGTTAACACATTCACTGCTAATTCCACCAAGTGTATGTAAATGTCTTTTTCTCCTATAGATGTCAGTCAAATGCAGAGAAACTTAAAAGTCAAACCTCACAAGCTGAAATATACATCATCTGTCAACTGCCTTTCATTTGTTCTCCTCCAGATCCATGTAGGGCATTAAATGTGTTAAAGCATCTTTTGTGAACTATTTTTTATTGTAAAAACATACATTATACGTTTTATGAAGAAATTTTAAAATTCATTTGTTGTAAAATAAATATAAGTAGAACAGAAACACACACTATTAATTTTCAGTGTCTTTGATTGCTTGTTCATCTGAACCGTCTTCCACTTTTCATGAGGCAATTAAAATAGGAAATAAGACAGCATTTAAAGGTAAAAACTAAATAAACTACACAGAATTCTGTTACAGCTTACAGCCAAATATAATGACATCACTACTGACCATGATGAATATGTCTGACTCAACACTACTGTGTTGTGGTTTCTATACTAGAGGTTCGGGGGTCATATCCAGATTAAGTTTTGTGATTTTCTTTAGAACCCTCAAGCAAATAGTGTCTATCTTAAAACACAGAGCCCAACAACTTCTTCCTAGAACCTCCTCAACTAATTATCATTCATAATAAATGCTATATAACCCATGCAGTAAACACAGAACCATTAAATAAATGAAGACATAGTGTGACGACTCACCTGAGGTAAGAAGTACAATGACTTTCATGGCAACATACTCATATTTGTCAACACGAAGTCGGCGGAGATGTTCAGTGAAGTTGAGCATTCGCTCAATGCAGGCACCAAGTCCCAGATCTCTAGCCTGGGCTAGGGAGATGGACTTGCCAAGACTCACGCGAATTTCACCAGGTGTTGACATAGACCGAAAGCAACAGGAGAACAGCAGCAGCTCACACCATGCATTGATCAGTAATGAGATCTGATCATCAATCTGTATAGCAAAAGATTGCTTAAGTTTTTTTCATTTTCATAATGATGCTCATTAATAGCCTCCCCCACCTCTCTCTCTCTCTCTCTCTCCTGCCTTCTCTTTTTTTAAAGTTACAGCGTGGTGTGATGTGGAAAGACATATCTGACATTTCAGATGTACTTACTGCCTCCCCTTCATATCAGCAGTGAAGATCAATGAAGCAGGTCTTTCTAAAACATTTTACTTCTTTTATTGACCACAAGATACCTAAATCCAGTCAAATTACCAAGTTCAGAAAATGAAAGCAAGTAATGTAAAGCTGCCCACATATATGAATTATACTGTATTTACATGAATATAAGATCATTCCTTCTCTTAAAATATTAATTCTCAGAAAAATGGACATATTTGTCAATACTAGAATTGGCCAGATATGAATTTCACTAAGTATCTGTATTCTTCAATATTCTGCAGTTAGATAAACATAACATTAAATTACTGACATTCTGGACATGATCCACTGCCCTGTTTTTTTACTTAAAAACACTTCAGACTGAACTCATATCTCCATCCTAAGGTAAAAGGCTACTCAGCTGGGCCCAATAGACAGAGCTCGTCCCTATTTCCAAAGATGGAGGAGAGGATGGACATAGAGTTGTCTCCAAAACGTTGTTTTAAATAAGAAAGAGAATGACAGATAATGTCAAAAAAAGTAAACATTTGCATTAATATACCATTTTCTCAAACTTTTAAATCTTATAACACTGTTAAAAATGTGTGTGAATATCATTATGATAACCAGGGCCCGGATTTTGATGACATGTCATCTTTTTTTCCTTGTATCCTATGCGATGCTCTTAAATATATAAATCTTGGATATGAGCTGCTGGTTACAGAAATGTAAATTTTATAGTAATTTTTTGTCATTTTTTTTGACATTTTTAGGTTTAAGGTCATTTTTTCATTTTGGGGGTAATTTTTTGGTAAATTTCTGGACTTTTAAGGGTATTTCTCATCACTTTTGGCCATTTTAGGGAATTTTTCTTCATATGTTTTCTGAAATGTGAATAACATGGAAGCGAATGTTCTTTCTTTTCTCCTTTGGGTCATTTTTGAGGATTTTTTTTGGTCATTTTTTTAATATTTTCAGGTCATCATAATCCGGGCCCTGCATATTACATTTCTGGGTCATATTTTAGGTCTTTTTCGGGATATTTCGGTCATTTTTTAAATATTTTCAGGACATCAACATCCAGGCCCTGATGATAACATTAATACATTCTGTTAATATAAAGGTGTAGAGACAGTAAATCAGTGAACAAAATGCATTAATTAAAAAAGCATAAAAGGTGCTAAGTCACACTGCACAGATCAGTCCATGTGTAACGGCCACTATTAAACAGTCATCAGCACTTTCTTCTTAAGCACTTGAGCAGCTGTCTCCATCCCACAGGATGTCACCATCTTTTTCATCTATGCTGTTTGATATACATTTCTTGAACCTACAGTCAACTAATTCAGATAAGACAGATGCTTTACCATGCAGTCTTTATCCATTCCCCATCCCACACAATGCCCCAGATGGTTTCTTTATTTCCCATATTGCAGTTAGTGGGCAGTTTCCAGACAGCAACTATTTCCCTAAGAGATGACAATCCTTGGATGGTCTGAGAACATCATATCAATGGCCTGGAGCTGAGAGGTCATGCCTTCAGGTAGAAGCATGAACATTAGTTCTGTATTTGGTTGAGAATTCTGGGACTGACCCTGTCTGTTTAAATTTTCCAAAAATCATGTAGAACAAACTTTCCCTTCTTCCATGGAAGAGCACCTAGTTACCCGTCCCTCTCTCTTTAGCCACTATTCATCAGTTCTTCAGTCATGCAACCCTTCTCATTGCATCTGAATATGATGTCACTAGCATTCTTATGCTTGGCCAGATTTTCCTTTTTTTAGAAGAATAAAGGTGTCACCTTCCTCCCATCAGCTAATACAGACAGCATTAGCATTAATATATGATCCTCACTGCCATATTTAATGAACCCTGAACATCAATTCTGAATTATGTAGGCTTCATCTGAACTTTCTAATTCTCCTTGAACATATTCTAGTTTCTGGAACAAAGTAATCAAATGAATGGCAAGTAATTTCACAGTAACGTCTACAGGAAACTTCTGAGCCAATACTGTTGTTTTTCTATGATGAGACAGGCCACTTCACCATATAAATCTCACAGTCCATCCAACACTTACTTTGCTATAACGGCACAATTTGAAAACAATTATTGCTGTTTGGTTTTCTTGCAGCATCAAACATTTACTTCAGTAATAATGAATTCTTATGCCACAGGGCAATAACTGGTTTCTTCCACACGCTTAGAGATCATTAAATTAGAATTCTACACTGTTGCATCCTGTTATATTACATCAAATGGCTATATTTAACTGTCACTTATAAACGACATAAGAAGGATGAGGCCATCATCTAATCGAAGTATTAGCCTGGCATTTGCCTGGAGGGACTGGGGAAAACCACAGAAACCCTGTCCCATCCAAGATTCATACCAAGCACCTCCAAAACATAAGTCCAGATCTCTACAAGGAGGCCAATCTGCTTGGTACTACATGTTTAAAAGTAAGATATATTCATTGCATCGCATTTTACATTTTACACTGTCATTCCATTCAACTGACTTTATCAGCTACATACAAAATTCAGAGTCTTGTGAAATCTGACACACATATCAGTAGTGCACGTATATAATGACCTATATTCTATACCCATCTGGTTTCATTAGCCATGACAAATCAACCAATCTATTCATTCAAATCATATCTCACCGATATATTCTTGAAGAGTGGTAGACTTTTGCACCACTTCACAAGTCTGTAGAGGCGGTGGTCGGCAATGTTGCACAGGTTTGATAAAAAATCCGAGTTATTGCTGCTGGCCTCTGAGTTACCATTTCCATTGCTGCCATTGCTGCTTGTGCTGCTGCTACTACTGCTGCTACTACTACTGCTACTGCTGCTACTACTGCTGCTGCTACTGCTACTGCTGCTGCTATTACTACCTCCATGAGCCGTCATTTTTTGCATCTCCTGGTCGTTGTAATGCCATAAATGCTCCACATCCATTATTTCCTAGTAACACAATAACAAAAGTTTCATAAAATTCTGTGAACTAATCCAAAAGTTGAAAGATGGGATGGACAGACACAAGGACACAGATACATGCATGCATGCACACATAGAATGGTTCAGGCATATTATACAGCTGTAATAAAAAGTCATTATCAAAAGAGGCTGCTTCACAAAATTTCTCACCCAGGATATGTGAATGTTATTTTTTCTGATTTCTGTCACTGGGTTTCTGTGGCAATTTATTTCTTACTGGACAAACTGTTGTCACACAGACACCTTTCCCTTATTCAAAGTCTGTGTGCAGTGTTATGTTTTAAAAATGGAAAACTTTTGGAATGTAATAACCAAAAATTCTTAGTGGGGAGACTGAGAACTTTAATTTCAAATTCTTAAATAATTCCTGCATAACATCGAAAAATATGGATTATGTCTTGCTTTAGAAAGAGTTAAAAATTTCATCTTGAATTTTAAAGTGGCAATGACACAACGGTCATCATAAATTATTATTAAAATGGTACTTGTACAAAATAATAAATCTACCCACCATTTTATATGGGTGTGAAACCTGGTCTCTTATCCTTAGGGAAGAATTCAGAGTATGGGAATTTGAGAGCAGGATGCTAAGGGATACTTCAAGGAAGTAATGCAAGAATTGGGGGGGGATTACATTTTGACGAGCTTAATAATTTGTATTCTTCACAAAATACTATTAGGGCGAATAAATCTAGGGGATCTTATGGGTAAGACATGTAACATAGGGGGGAAATGAGAACAGCATACAAAATTGTAACTGGAAAACCTGAAGGGGAGAAACCACCTGCAAGACATATGTAGTGATGGAATGTGTCGACTGAATTCAAATGTCTCAAAAGAGGGTCCACTTGGGGCTATTGTGAACACAATAATGAAGAACCAGAATCCAAAAGATGGAATTTTTTGACCTGTTGACAAACCAACAGCTTCTCAAGGACTCTTCCATATGATGTCAGTTACAGCAATATTTAAAATGGATCAATTCAGGAAGTAATCATGGCCTATTTTAAGGTATCATTCCAGCTTTTGTCAGAAGGGACTGAGAGAAACTTGACTTCAGTTGAAACAGCCAGCTGATGGGCCAAGAATCATACCTGCAACATGAATATGAACCAGGCATGCCAAACACTCAAGCACTACTAATCTATATTACATAAATGTGAAACATTCCATATTATTTTGAATATAAGACACACATTTTTCATATTTCTTCCCACTGAAAAATTGAGGTGCGTCTTAAATTCGAGGAATTATTCACCAGTTTGCAAACTGTCCACGGAGTAGCCTGAAAGAACCTGTCTAAACACATTTGGAATGAGTCATCAAGCAACATCATCCCCCATCATTTTAGTTCAGTCACTGTCAGACACTCTTAGCATTCAGGTGTGTTCTGTTTCCTATCAGTCTGTACCCATGGCAAAGCATTTTACATATGATGCTGCATTCAAAAGAAAAGTTATTCTGTGCATTGAAAAGATAGGTAATCATGGAGCTAGTAGAAAGTATACAGTATATGAGGCATGTGTGTCATTGGCAAAGTAAGAAAACAATACTGTTTTCAATGGATGTATTTCATGGCCATCTCTCTGATAGAATCAAAACTAGGTCAAAGAACAAAGCACTGATCAGGGTTAATTGCAAGTGGCATGAAAAGTCAATTACAACAGTCTGATGTATCAGTTAACAACCATTCAAGCATCTTGTCCACAAATACTACAATGCCTGGCTAAACAAAGACATCTAGTGGGAAAATAAAAAAGCATCAATAACAGTGAAGTGGATATCAAAAGTTTTTTAAAGAAGTGTCAGTCAGTTTTTGAAGTGCTGTTCATCTAATGCTGAAGATGGAACAGAGGATGACAGTTTTTCAGACAGCTGTGAACAATGTGGCAAGGGTGCATTATCTTCAGAACATGAAAATGTGATTGAATGATCACTGGACGAACTTTCTGATTAAATAAAAAAGACAAAAATAAATGTGCACATAGTGAAAATGTTAAATTTCCATTTCTTTCTGGTACATTTTCCATTATTTTTCACTTTAAATGTGTTCTAAATATTATGTTATTTTAATTTATGTGTTTTAACAAACTCATTTAAATAAACACACCATTCCATTTTTTCTAAAACTCTCATTTAAAAATTGGATGAATCTTAAATTCGAGGGAATCTTATATTTGAAGTAATATCGTATTAATATGCTCATGCAATGGGGGTGTGGGAACATCCCACATACTAACATGCAGTTTCGCCAGTCTAACAGACAACACTCAACTCCTAGTCAATATCACATTGCTGCCAACGCTCGTACTTATACATCACTCGCTGTCCAGCCCACGATTACATCATAGCACACGCTAGCCAATCAGAACTCACAATCAAAACTGCAAGTTTAAGCTCTGCCCAGCAAGCATGGTATATGACATTCAGTTCAGAACAATCAGTCATCAGAGTCATCAGCCGTTCACTGTGCCAAAGACAGCTGCCGCAACTCTCCAGCAACCACGCTCTGCTACCAGACAGCTAACGTAGCTGCCGCAGCTCTCCAGCAACCAAACTGAGACAATGGCTCAGTCATCGCCTGCACCATAGGCAGCTGTTCCTACCGGCACACACAGCACCAAATCACCGGCCAGACAGACCAGCTGAACGGCCGTAAAGACTTGGTCTACTACAAAGGAGCAAATTCTGCCAGCGCACTCACGGTGGAACAAACTGCCCTTTTCAGGGCCAGCCAACTTGTGAACATCGACATTCTACATAGCTTCACAGCTATTCTGTACATTCAATTTATACAATTTAATATTTACAACTGTTACAGATTTACGTGGTTGTCTTTTAGAACATCGACAATCCCACAGGGGCAACATGATGTAGGGGACTGCCTGTTGGGATGAAGCAAAGTAACACTACAGAAACAGACAAGACTGGAAACAAAGGTTGCTGGGGCTATGGTAAAAACATGCTGTAGGTTACAAATTCCTTTCACGAAATGGGGGGGAGGAACAGAAGCTTTCACAGGCACTGAATGTTATGAAATCTTCTTGGGAAATCAGTCACATCAGTATGAAATGAATTTGCAAGTTTGGAAACTGTTTCTTTCACCGTCATCAGGAAGCGATTGGTGATGCATTCTTAAGCTGGCCCTGGATTCTGGTAATCATACATTTCAATGAAAGAATCATCAACGAACTACCATTAGATCCAAAAAAAAAAAGGCACAGTTAATGTTATGATAAAATATATTTCCATGTTAAGAAACAATGACTGAGGGTGAAGCAGGATGGGCGACCATCTGATTCTGCCAAATGTTCTTCTAATGGCTCAACCCCAAAGAATGAGAACAGGGTGCAACAGCATACATACACATATACATACATACAAAAAAGAGCTGTGCAAATCACACCAGTTTCTGATGTTGAAAATGAATTTTATACTGGTTTGACTCATCATCTGAGATGACTTCATTACAAAATAAGCTTAGGCACAGCCAGCTCTGAAGTAACAAACTGAACCAAAATATACTGCGTGATTTTGAAGATGAAACATGCAAGCAGATAGACAGAGATGGATAATTTCATTTCATTTGACTGATATATTCAATGTACCTAGACATTTTTATTTTTCTGGGCTGCTCTTCTTCATAAAGTATATAACTTACTTGCAATAATTGAGGGATGGCAAGTTTGTCGAGATGCCTAGAGTTGACAGGGACCGTTCCTCCATTGCCATTCCCACTACTCCCTGCTACTACCCCCACATCTGGAGCCTCCAGCTTTACCTGGGGGTCACCAGAGGGGGCAAGCAACTTATGGCTGGAGGTATCACTTCCAGGTGCAGCCACAAGGCTGGCAGGCAATGTGTATGAGCACTGGTACGTGCTGCGGCCACCACGAGTTCTATCTTCACGAATAGCTGTAAACAAAATGGCAGTGTCACCACCTCTATTTCCTATCTGAAGTTGGCATCACAAAAAATAATCTTTTTCAAACACACTCTGATCACATAGATTTTTCCTGTCACTAAGCACTAAAAGTAGCTAATTTTTGTGATTCCTTGGATGTAAGTAAATCATTAACTATACATTTCTTTACTGCATACTGGAATACTGCATACTAACACTGTGGTGAGAAAACTGCTGGACTGGAAGGTAAGCAAGCAGATGAACTGCTGGACTACAACTGTTAATAGTAGTGAACAATTCAAAGATCTTAAATGGCCTGATAGAATATACAATTAGTATAACAGGAAATGATAACAATATGAAACTACTAAAAGACAACAAGAAATGGAAACATAATTGAAAAGTAGAATTAGATGAAAGTAGAAAGTAGAATTAAATCAGACCAGTGAAACACAATCCTTGGTAGAAAGGGAGGGAATTCAAATGTCATGGAAATCTCTCAACACAAACAATGAGCACAATTCTACCCAAACCACTGCAGTCTCATACTCTGAATTCTGCTAATCCTCTTGTTGATGTCTACAGGATATCGCTGTGGTTGTGAAGCAACAGATATAAAGATATGCGTGATCATTCTGGAAATCCTTCATTTTATTTGTTGTCTCACATCAGTATGCCATAATAACATTCAGATGATGAGCAACAGCTTCTGAGAACAAATACTGCAGTAATTTTGGCACTGCCTAAAAATGTGTGTCCATACCTACAGCTGTTTCTAATTATGAAAATCAATAAGTGAGAAACATCAGGTTTATGTATAATAATTGCATTTTGAGACACTATCCACCTTCCTGCTTTTTTTTTTTTAATTGAAAGCACACCATGTTCCAGAGACTGAATTCTGTCTCCACCCTCAAGTGGAACCCACTCAGTTGGGCCCAACTGACAGAGCTAGTCCCTATCTCTGGACACTAGCACCAACACAAGATAGGATATATAAATCAAGCACAGCATAAACCACCAGTGGGAGTTATTAAAAATATTTTAAAAAATTGCACATACATGAAGCCTAGCACTATTTCATGGCTACTATTATCAAAATCAGAGTCCTATCAGAATGGAAGTCATCACTAAAGTGAAAAATTCTCTGTATGGTACCAACAGAAACACAATGTTCACACATAATCTACACTGGATGAAGTTGTAGTTTTCTGACCTTGGGCCATATTATATTTGTGCTAATTAATGCATACTTCTAAAGGTCTGCTTGTTTTGCTGATGTAACATCTGCCATAATCACATGGGATATTGTACAAACATTGTTTTATCTGCTGGGCATCTCTAATTGATCTAGCTTTCGTGAATGCCCAAGGAATGTATGTATAGTTTTGGAAATGGTCCTGACATTGAAACGGTTTCCAAAGCATTTGAACTTCTCGGAGATAGCCTTAACATATGAGCCAATAACCATTCCCAGACATATTGTATCTGATGAAGGATGGTTGCTTCTTGATGGCTTAAACATTTGGGACTGATAATATGAGCACCCAATTAAGCCATGGAAGTTAATTCTTTGTAAGGCACTGGCTGTAAAATGTGCCACAAGATCTGACAAATGTCTCTATAATGTTGCATCTGCGTGTTTAAACTTCATCCTCTGAGAACAGAAGATTTAAATGTCTTGCCACTACTGAGCTGGTGACAAGATTTTAACTTTGAAGTAATGACATTTGTACTGAACACAATGATAGTGAACCTGCTGGACCCATGCAAGCGCCACCACAATAGTGTGACACATGGTCAATAAAAGTAAAGCACCTTCTGATGATATTTCTAATTATTAAAGAATTTCAAATATTTTAATTAATAAAACCATGAACAACTTCAACATCCATTGAAATTGCAGATCATTTACCTTCCAGTTTCATACCCATTTTAAGACATTTCTCAAAACGGCATGCCGGGCACTTCTTGCGGGTTGCAATGGTTACAGGACAAGAAGATCCACGCAGACAGACATAATTCTTGCGATTCTGAACAGTTCTTTTAAAAAATCCTTTACAGCTCTCGCAAGAGAAGATGCCATAATGGAAACCAGAAATCTTATCCCCACATATGGGGCAAGGACTGAAAACAAATACACACATTTGTTATGCTAGCACTGTGAATTATACCATACAGATAACCACTGGGGCCACCACCATTGCCCCCCCCCAAAAAAAACCCCTCTAGAACCCTCAAAATATAACAAAATAAGATTTTCAGTTTTTGTATCAACAGAAGAGTGTGGTTTTCTGCAGCATTACATTGTGTACTTTTGCAGATGGTTACCACTGTTTTGGAGGAACCACAGTCCATAAAATTTTCACTGTGGTTCATTTATGCATGACAAATCTTAAAATTCACAGCTTGTCTAACATCATGCAGATTGAATCAGCCAAAGATGTACCTAGGAGACTTTCTGTTCAAGCGACATCATTCATCATCAAAAAATGTACAAAACATTTGATTGGTTAATTAATAATTAAAAATTAATCACAACCAATTAAAATGTACATTACACAGGCTTCATTTACCATGGGTTACTGTGGACATCTTGCTCCAAACATGTCCTGAATGATGTTTGTGCCCCTTAGGTGTGTTCTTCTGGCTTCAAATACATGAAAATTGTAGAGGGAGAGATGAGAACTGTACAGAGACTGTTCCAACACCCTCCAACTTAGTGATTCTTTCTGTGACAGTTCCAGCAAATTATGAAAATTATGTGCTACAGGTACATTTCTGCTGTACCTCCAACTTTAATCACCCTTGGGTTGGTTTCTACCGAACAGTTTTACATGTGGGTACAGGCATTGGGGTATTTTCTGCAGGGTTAGAATACCTGTTAATGAGCTGTTGCCTAGAAATGCCAGGAGGAGCAGCTAGTGCTGAATGTTGGACCAAATCTGCGGCTAGGGAAGACATCTTCTCATCCAGAATTCCTTCTCGCTCATCTGTAACAAAAAAGAGATATAATGTCCTCCATATATACAAAATCTAATTTATGTAGTATATTTGAGTCATATTATGAGCATTTAATGTGATCAAGAGTCAAGTTAGGCCTAAGAAACTGTCTCAAGCTTACGACGTTCCAAACTCATACGTTCTATAAATATTCTGAATACATGAAATGACCAGAAAAAATCACAGTGAAATTAATGGTTCATGTGGTGACCTCATGCACAACTGACAACATAATGTCGATAATGTTGATTTAATTGATGATCACATCAATGTGTTCTTACTTCTAAATTCTGTCTTAAGAAATGTCTTAAACTTCATATAATTAAGCTTTACAATTTGTTGAGAACCTCCAGTGGCAAGTTCATTTCACCATTCTTTGTCTCTCATTTCCAAGTTAGCTATATTCAAGGAACAAACCCATTTTCAGGACCAGATCTCAATTATTCAGTGCTGATCACTATTCCTGTTCTTCATAAATAAATCTGTCTTAACATTCTTGTCAATCCTTACTGCACGTACCCATGAACTGACTCCACACCTTATCTAAGGATCTAACATGTTTCTTGTTACAGCATCATTTATTTTTTTCAAATAATTTCTCTTCCATGCTGCAACATCAATTCTTTCCATCACAAATAATATCCAGCTCTTACAAATCTTTACATCTGAAACCAAACTGTGTCAATATTTCTGTTAACAAGCTGGGAAATATATGCAGAGGGTAACAATTCTAAGCATGTCTCCTGGTTTATCTAAAAATCCATTAGACTTGATTTAAACAGACTGTAATGTATCAACAATTGTCAGTAACTCTCCTATATCAAATTTTATACAATTCTGTTCTTAAGGTGTTACACAAATACAGTCAGAGGGACAGAAAGATGGATATGCTGAGGCTAGTAAGTACTTTCTGCAACTTCCTGTTGTCAACCTGCCATAAAAAACTTCCCTCCAAGAAAATGTATCTCTTCTTTCATGGTCACTAATATATTTTACATGCTGGAACCTCTTTGTTCAGTTTGAAAAATGCCGTTGCATGTTTGTCTGATTATATATGATTTATAAATGGCTTTGATTTAAAGTCATCAAATCTGATTCTTTCATAAATGGGCCCTTGATTTTTACCTGATGATTTTCTCAGTGCCAATGCTTGCATGTCAGTCTCCTTTCTCATTTTACATGCATTGATTTCTGATTTTTTAGTAGTTGTATTTTTTTTTGCAGTCTCTATTTGAGCTTTTCAAAATTTCATTGACCTTTCTTGCTCAAACATCCATGCGACTTTATTACCAACTTTTAATACCAGGCTGAATTAAATCTTTTTTTAGTTTGAAGATTCTATCAGAAATATTTTCACTAAAATATAATTTACAGAGAACTCCAAAAGTAATTATTGCACACATCATAGAACCATAACATACACAGGCAAATCACACAAATTATATGCTCTCTATGGATAACTGTTACTCCCCCACCACAAAACCTTAATGTAGTTTATCAAATTTCAAATTTCAACACTAACACACAGAGCATACCATATTTATGCATGTATAGGCCGCAGCACAATTTTCAGACAGAAATTATAGAAAAAATAATTTTCTTCTAATATTATTTCAGGAGTAGAACACCCTGTATTACTAATTATGAATATAATTCTTTTTTAAATGAAGTGTGATTTCGAATATTTCGAATATAAGCCGCACCCGTTTTCCTCTTGAATTTTTGGCAAAAAATGTGCGGCCTATACATGCGTAAATATGGTAATTAACTAGCTTCTACACATGACACCACCACGGTTATGGCAAAACTCTTCCACTGCCATGTTACTACACAAAATTTACTAACAAATTCCACAAATAATTCAAAACTCCCTTGTGACACAATAACAAATATAAAGGAAGAACATTCATATCTTTACTTTTTTGGCTAGGGCTTTTATTGAAATTAGCGGCCTCCGTAGTCTAGAGGTAACGTTCCCACCTCATGACTCGTGGTACGCGGGTTCAAATACCCGGCGGAGGTCATCGAATTTTTAAGGGCGGAAAAATTCAGGGAACAAGTCCTCCGGGAGGGACTTTAAGCTGTGTGTCCCGTGTCATAACTTTACGGCACGTAAAAGAACCTCATATCCTCAAAGAGGATCACTGAGCCAAATTCCAGGACGTTTCCCGCACAACAATAGTCTCTAAGGCCTCTGATAGATGGGGGAAGCATTATAGATACCGCTAAGCAAGTGGCCGAACTCGCTTGCTCGGCAGGACTGATAGTACGCACCGTTTATCGGTAGGGTACAGAGACTGGTAGAATATCACAGAGGGAAGCACAATAGATCAAACTGGTCACAGTGCATGGGGAAACCCACCCTCTCTAAATAACTAACTAATTTATTGAAATTAATTGGCTATGTCCCATTGCACTTTTTTAATTTAAATCATACTTGAACTTCTGTTACACTAGAATCTACTGAGCCATTTGCTGTTTGCTTTAAAGTTATAGCTTGCATCACCCAGGAGTAATATCTAGTGAAGTGCAGTTGCGTGTTGTGCCCTCCGCAATTTGCACCTCATCAGAAAATGGCAAATTTTGAAGAGCAGAGTATAACATCAAGCTCTGCCTCACATTCCAACTGCTCCATACTAATCAGTCCCCTTATCACCTGATGTTATATAATTTCGACACTGACAGCAGTGTTGACCACCTTAAAAAATACCTGAACAAAACCGCTATAAAACTGTTAAGAGGTTAAAACTTACTTTAAGAGGGAACAATATGCAGAACCCATAAGATCTGTTTGGTTTTCTTAGTGAAAGTGGAGTAACATATGATAATGATGCTAAGCATTCCGTTTATCCACCCGCAAACTCGAAGGATGTAATTTTGGAATGAATGAGGGAATTTGTTCTTGAAAATAGGGCCATCACTGTCTATGACTAAGATAATAAGGTGGGAATCTCATTTGGATCATACCAAAGTGTTCTGACACAAGCAGAATATCAACATGAGCCATAAACCTTTAGAAAAAATATGAGGGAGACATATATTTCCCTTTGTGATCCATTTCTATTTCTAATATTCATATGGTACTGTAGGGAAAGAGATCTGAAGACACCATCATGATTCAATAACAAATGCAGGATGCACTTGCTAGGTTGAAAACCTGGGACCTTCTCAAATGTTCAACAATGGCCCAATCACTGGAATCACTACATCACATCCCAAAGGAAGTACTTCAAGGAGGTTAGAATGGAATAAAGGGCAATTTCAGTTATCACAGACAAAAGACTACAATCTGGAAATTATGTGATCACACCACTCAGCTGCATTAATAGTATTTACTAACACAGAATTTTTCACATGTATGTCAGGAACATAAACTACTAAAAATATGAATCTCACTTGTATGTCATTCAGCCTGAATGCTGAACCCTGTTCCAGCAGACTTTAAAATCATTCTGTCACAGAAGTCCTTACCATTGGCATCTGCTGCTGCAGTTTCTTGTTGCAAGCACTCATCTCCATTGCCTCCAACATTAACAATCCCTGGCCTGGGAACAGATACACTTCCATATATGGCCCCACCTGCCATCATATGAAGAGGTGACCCAGCATTCCCCGGACCGGATCCGAAGTCTGGTCCCCGAGGCATCACAGGAGAGGGAAAACCTGCCCCAACAGCACCATGGCCATGCATATGCCTCGACTGGATGGGAGAGTGCGTGGGAGAGAACTGTGTTGGAGACACAGATACAGATGAATAGCTATAGCAGCTACTGTGTTGTGAGCCTCCATACTGAGATGCATCTGAGTTGTTTCGTGACAAGGATGGTGTGTATGGTGAGCTAAAACCTGACGATGGTAACCCTGAAAAAGAATATGCATTTCGAACAATTTTACTGGTGACACCAAAATGTGACTTTATTGGAAAAACAAGCCAAACAATCACATACATTGTACCTAAACAACATGAGAACAGTTTCGCAGTTCTGCAACGTAGTACCTACTGCATACAGTTGAAATATTTGACTGTGATTCTGTCTCATATGCATGCCTTACATTGACATTCTGAGTATGTGTGGTTTTTATGCAGTCATTCTCACAGTCACTATGTACTTATTGGCACCGAAACACGTGTTTCAGCAAACACACAACAAATCAGGTCTATATGATTATGTTGGTACACTGTATTTGCTCAGGACAATTGAAGGGTAGAGTGCAAAACTCAGATAGCTTCAGTATATTGTCAAGATTTTATGGAGTGTGACTACAGGTGGGGTTTGGATTGTTAATCGAATTTACTGCACAATTATACAGCTCATTACTACGTGGGTCATTTCAGAAAAAACGCACACAATTTTTTGTTTACGTCCATGTTTATTTTTTTAATATCTCTTTACAGTCGTTATATTTTAGCGTACTGTTGCACTGATTTAAGTCCATGATTTATTTAAACCGTTTTGCAGTGCATACACTCATTTATCTCCTTCTCTCCCTCGCACTAAATGTTTTGGCATAAGAATGCCATCTTCAGGTGCTTACTTATCCACGCCAAACTAGTTCATTGCATGCCTTGTTCTCATATTAAATTAACTAAAATATGTATCTATCATATACATTGTCAAACGTTAAAAATATTAAAATTGTTCAGGATACCACATCGCTACGTCGCACCTCACTACGCCAGTCACGCCCATTCTCCTCCGTTGGAGCACTCCTTCACGCAGTCACAGGAGCAAGACACAACAAAAGCACAACACACACAAGATAGTGAAGGAGTGCTCCAACGGAGGAGAATGGGCGTGACTGGCGTAGTGAGGTGCGACGTAGCGATGTGGTATCCTGAACAATTTTAATATTTTTAACGTTTGACAATGTATATGATAGATACATATTTTAGTTATTTTAATGTGAGAACAAGGCATGCAATGAACTAGTTTGGCGTGGATAAGTAAGCACCTGAAGATGGCATTATTATGCCGAAACATGTAGTGCGAGGGAGAGAAGGAGATAAATGAGTGTATGCACTACAAGACGGTTTAAATAAATCATGGACTTAAATCAGTGCAACAGNCAACTGTATTGGCGCAGCTTTTCTGTTACGACATTCCCAATGTGTGAGCGAGTGTTGTCATGGAGAATGATCGGCCCAGCCTCGAGCAACTGAGGTTGGTTTTTGTGTATTTTTCTGCACAGATTTTGCATAAAGTCACAATAATAAACTGCTGTGACACTTTTCCCACATGGAACTCTGTCTGTCATGATGATTCCTTGGTGATCATAAGCAAAGATCATAATTTGTTTGACCTTTGACTGAGATCGTCGAAATTTTTTTGGTCGTGGGGAAGATAGACCTCTCCACTTGGACTGTGATTTCAGCTCCGGTTCAAAGTCTCTAACCCATGTTTCATCACCTTCAAAGTCAAATCTTTGTTTCAGCAAGGTTGCAATGTTGAGGCGTTTCTGCTTCTGTTCAGCAGTCAAGCAGTGAGGGACCCATCACACAGAAATCTTTCTCTTCTTTAAATCATTTGTCAGAATTCGGAATATTGACGTTGGTGGAATCCCCGTGGTTTCAGAAAGTTCCTCACATGTCGCACGACGATCTTCTTCAAGAGTATCTGACACAAGTTTCACACTTCGTTCATCTGTTGTTTTCGGCCTTCCTGGCCTTGGATCATCGTTTATGCTTACACGACCACCACAAAAACATCTAGCCCAGTGAGAAACTGTACTACAGTCCACTGTTAGCTTGCCACAAACTTCACTTAAAGCACTGTGGATTTCTGTCGGGTTTTTTCCACGTAAAGTTTCGATCTTAATGTATGACCTTTGATCTTCAACAGTCACAATACCCAAGAACCGTGCAGGCTCCATTTCTAACTCATGTTATTTAAGAATAGAGTACATTATAAATGAAACAAAATAACGCACTTCTTTCTCAAGCCCTGAACTGTAACTGACGTGAGGCTCACTGTTGTTGCATCATCTAATCCGCAGTGTTGCCAACCTGTGCATTATTTATGAAATGACCCACATACATTTCACAAATCACTAGACTAGTGTTCTCAGTCTGTTATAGTCTCCACAAGCTGTTACATGGTAGTGGCTTCCAACAGTGGATGTTCCCCTTCCCCTGGGTTCCTGAACTATCCCTGGCCTCAACTCCCAGCTTCTCATAACAACATCTCACAATGACTGAACTGCAGTTCTCTAACTCACTAACTCACCAACCAACTACTTCACTAGCTCACTGACTAACTTGTCTTGCTTATAACATCTCAGCATGGCCCACATAGAAAACATCGCTCCTCTCCTGCAGTGCAAATATTGCATTCGTTTTTGTTCACAAAGCTATTACTTGGAAACGGCTGTTGTATACTCAATTATTTCGCAGTCATTACCTATCAACAGGTCTACTTGCCACAATATATAAGATTCTTCCAATTCTTAAATGAGGGCTTCAGGAAAAATTTAGAAAGGTGTATTTATATCAATGAGTTTATTTAGAACACATCAATTAAAATAACAAAATATATAGACCACATTCAAAGTGAAAAGTAATGGAAAATATATCAGAATGAAATGGAAATTTAAAACTTTCACCACATGCACATTCCTTTGTAACTTTTTTTTTCTTCCCTGTTGTCAGTATCAAAACTGAATAGCACTGATGATGGGATAATTAATGAACATGGAGAAGTTGGTGGAATGAGACTTTGCAGGAAAACCAAAAGAACTTGAAGAAAACCTGCCACAATGCCACTCTGAAAGCATGTTGCAAAAAAAAAATCCCCAGTGTTTGAACTATAATCTGTAATGGCATTTGTTGGAGAAAAGATAAAGTACTTCTATGACTAGTTACAATATCATGAATTTATGGTGCCAAAATAGACAGTGATTCAGTCAGTTTCATGTAACTTTGTTGGGTGCATGTATTAATACACTCTGTAAAACAGCCACAAAATTTCCTTTGCTTTGGTTACACATAAATTTAATTCTGTTAAACGTACCATGGCTGCTACCATGGCGTGATGTCACAGGACTTTGAGCTGGGGATGAATAAGAATAGGCAGAATGTATGGCTGAATCTGGGCTGGGAGTTGGTGGCACTGCCTGGTTACCACTGTGGTGTGAATGCTTGAGGTGGTGCCCCATATGTCTCTGCTGCAAGACTGGACTGTGAGATGGTGTTGTATTGTAACAGCCACCATTACCCAGCAGCTTATCCACCAAAAGTGGCAAGTCACTCGCTGTGGTGCTGTTCTGTGGCAAGATGTTATTTGTTGGTCCAGCCTGGGGATGGTGGTGAAGTTGTTTTGATCGCACATGTTCCAACACCTTGTCCACCTGTCAAAAGGAAAAGTCTTGTTAAGGGTATATCATTCAAACATCCTAAATAACAGTGAAATATATATTTAAACACTCACCAAGGAAATAGCTTTGCTTACACCAGATAATGGTTTCTGGTGAATGGAGGTTATGAAAACTCACACCAAGAAATTATTCCCCTTACTGTACACACTTATGATAATATAATCTCTTCATGTTAAGTGGTTAAGGAAATGGTTTCTACTCAAATACAATTACATAATCAATATTATAAAATTAATTTTTAAAATGATTACTGACATGAAATAAACACCGAAGAAGTCAGTCAAGAATCAAAGCAACCATGACGCCACAAGCAGCTTTATTTTGATGACTGTTAATGGGAGTTTGATTTGTTTCACTCTGGTCCGTCACACTAATAATATTATGAAAAAGTTAAAATATTTCTGTCCAGTGCGACTGGTTAAGATTTTTTCTTATTTCAATTATTCATGCCCTCACATGTTTCAGTCTTCAGAGACCATCTTCAGAGGGACACCTTTAAAAAACAACACAGCGGGCCACAAACACATACAGGACAACATTAAAAAACCCTCTTCTCGAGAACGACAGGGGGCACACATTCGGCCCCCGTCAAAAAGAAATAATTAAGAGGGACAACACAAACCAACTTGTAAGATTTGAGGCTTTCACGGCGGTGACTATGAAGAAAGCAGTCTTCTGGGATTTGGCACCGTGTATAAGTGGTGTTAACCGACGTTTCGGAGGAACGTATCGCCTCCATCTTCAGGGTAGAAGAAAAAGTATAAGAAATCTGCAAGCGACAAGACCATGAGAACGGTGCTTGCAAAGATTATGATTATGCAGTAACAATTTCTGGCAGTAGGAAAATATGAATATCGATTGTCTTCTGACCAAAATCAGACTAAACTGAGACACAAATTCTGGAAGGCAAATATTTTTATACTAAATGCAGGTCATTTGCTAAATAAAATTCACTAAACATATGAAAACACAGATGTTTATTTTCTATCTGACACTATAAAATTTGTATAACATTTTTAATACCGAATGAAAGTGTATGAAACTTGCAGAGAACAGTCTATGCACTCGGGGAAATTTGTCTATTACACTAAATTAATGTTTCATGTAATGTCCCCAAAGATGATGAACAATATGGAAATGAAGAGTAAACTTGTTCAGAATCCCTATTAGAGTTTCTGCAGAAAGGGCTTCAATTTATCATTAGATGGCCGTTTTCAGTTCTGGAACTGTGTGCTGATTTTTCTGAAACATCCTATCCTCCAAGCACTCTCACACAAAACAATCACAAGGGTTGCAGTCCAGTGAGGTTAGTGGCCATGAAAATCCTTCCTCAAACAGTGCAGGATACGAGTTTGACAGGACTCTCCCCTGGAAAATGTCACAAAGGGAGAAAAGTTTGAGATTGTTGGTGTGAGGTCTGGCACCTTCTTCTTGAACCCAGGCTGATTTCACTGGAACTGCCATGGCCCTTCAGGAAAGGGCAATTTCATCACTCAGCATACTGATATAAACATCACAAGTGACAGCAACATCGATGAACATGGGACCAAATGTTCTGATACTTGATAATGCACACCATACTGTAACTTCCTCTGGAGGCATTGGGTTAGCAATTGTAACACTTGGATCCTCTACGGCCAAAACTGGATATGCTGCTTGTTAATATAACCATCCAAGTGAAAGTGTGTTTCAATAGGGAATAATATGACAATCAAGACACATGGACTGTCCTCCAGCAGTCCTCTATACCAGTGTTTCTCAACCCTCCAGCAGTCCTCTATACCAGTGTTTCTCAACCACCAGGCCGCAGGCTTGTACCAGGCCCTCGTCTTATAGAAAAAAGAATTTACAGGGCCACAGTCTGACAAAAGTTGAGAACCACTGCTCTATTCTCCCTTGCAGAACCATAACATCTCACTATTCCATCTTCTGACAATGGCTGACTCAGCTGCATTTTGTCAGAAACAAGACATCACAACATATATTCCAATAAGTGATAGAGGAGACAAATCCGTCGTGCTAAATGCTGCACACTTTTCCTTGGACCTATTGTTATTGCCTCCTACAATGCACCAACAACTTCTTCCATGTGAAAAAAGATGTGCTATGTTTATGTCTCTTTGCACAATTATCACATACACTTCCTGTTTCTTCATACTATTCAACAACCTAGCAAACAGTCTCTCTCAATGGTGCAACATGAACAGAAACCTTGAATAAAGAAAACAGATGGAAATATTAAAAAGCGCAGGAACTTGTTCATATTGATCAGAGAATGATTATCAGAAAGAAAGTAGTAGAATTGAGTGTTCACCAAATTTCTATCATTAGTCTTGGGACGAAAAAGGTGCATGTTACGATGGTGCCAAAAAAATTTGACTGATGACCATGGGTTGAGAACAAGTTAGTATCAACCTTCTGGACAAAATTCTGGGAGCATCTAAACCTTAACAAACATCATATCATCATGATGTTATGAAACACTGACACTGCAGTATGATCCTGAGACCAAAAGGCAGAAAACACTGAAAGAATTCATTGCCTTCCACAGACTGAAAAAACCAAAAGCGAGCAAGTCAAAGTTCAAAAACATGATCATGGTGTATTTTTTTACAAAAGAGGAACTGTCCAGTCTGAATTTGTTCTTCAGGGACAAACTGTCAACCACTTGTCTTAATTTGAAGTTCTACAGCAGGCATGTCCAACGCATCAATCGCGGGAAAATGTTTTGGTCAATCTCATAGGCATATAAGGAAATTATACTTAAAGCACATAAATTCACATGTAATATAATATGATTATATTCAGATGCTGAAGGGAAAATACATATTAAAGTAGTCTGTACTTTCAATGTATGTTGCTTTTACAACAAACATCATGTGTCATGTTATTTTTACCAATATTTTTGCTTAAAGTGAGGGATGATAGGAGGGGGTGGTAGATCACTGTCAGTTTTGACACTAAAAAGTCGATCACAACCTGTTTGAAGTTGGACATGCCTGTTCTACAGCATTTTCATGAAGTGAGTCAGAATAGGTACAATGTGTGGGCAGAAAAGTGGATGTTGCATCAAGACAATACATCAGCTCATGCTGTGGTATCAGTAAGGTAAATTCACAGGAAAAGATCCTTCCGATGGATCATCTCCTTGTTCTCCTAATTTGTCTCTAAGTGACTTCAATTTCAAACTGTAAAACCTTTGCTGAAAGGGATACATTTTCAGTTCAGAGGCCCAGCAACATACATTAAGCACGCTAAAAGTGGTAACAGAAGATGCATTCCAGAAACTCTACCAAATGTGGCAGAAAATAGCAGCTTCATATACAGCTGCCAAAGAGTTATACTTTGAAGGGACAGCAGCAATGAGTTGGTATGCTGAGTTCTAAACTGCTTACAAAGTCATTCCTAGCATATTCTAGCTACGAGTACACCTTATAAATGAAACACTGTCACTGTCTATACCACTTCGCAAAACAGGGAAATTTAGCAAATAACATTTACCACACTCTCTCCAAACTTCAAAGGATGCTTATTATCTTCTCTATGACTTGGTGAAGAACTGTTGTTGACACCACAGATCTGCACACCTTCCATTGACGTTTCTTCATGGTCCTGAAAGAAACAGCAAACATAAACCAACTTCTTTAAGACAAATTAATTTCATCACTGGAATGCTATATCTGCAAGTAAATAACTTCAATAGCAACAGATGCTTCTATACTCACAGTATTAAAATATGTAAACAAAACTAATTACAGTGTTCAACAAAGACTTGGCTTCCTTTTGAAATAATCTGTCCCCTTAGGAGTGCTCCTCCAGGTTCATAGAGAAGGCCATTGTTTCCTTCTATCAACCCTTCATTTTTTAAAAATTACCTGTCTTTTCACTGTTCATTACAAGTAAAATTTTTTGAATGGAGATATTCCATTAAGTGGGGAGGCATCCCATGCATAATGGTGTCTTTGCCAGTGTACTGGAGGCTACTAACCTTAAAGGTGTGTCTTAACACTGTTGAATGTAGTTGCTAATGTCAATTGAAAGAGTCTTCAGCTGAGTGACTTCTTTATACATTTCCTTGTTTATTGTGCACTCTGTGTTTTAATATATCATGCCAGCATGTAAATAAACATAAATACTTGTGTGTTAGTTATGAGAACTTCCGTTAATTGAACGCAGGTATGCAAAGGAACAACACAGCATCATAATGACTGATAAAGTGAAGGTATTTGTTTGGGAAATTGGGCTTGTGGTTCAGAAGACTGGAAGGGATAGTTTGGATGTTGTGGCATATTTGCTCAATGCAAGAACTGTGGAGTCACAGCAAGCCAGCCGTTACTAGGCAGCGGCCTATAAACAACTACAGTTGTTTTCTACACAATTGGTGCCCAAGGCTACAGATGCAGCAATGGAATATGTCATGCCACTACTAAGCAACACAACAATTGCACAGCAACAGAGGCGCGCTGTTTTCTGTGCAGTCTATACTGGGTATATATAATGAACTGAGTTGAGTTGCAATAAGTCAGATTACTGCTGGGGTTCAGCTGTTGTGAGATGTTGCTGTGAGAAGCTGGTAGCTGAAGCCGGGGTCAGTTCAGGAACCCAGAGGAAGGGAAACATCCACTGTTGGAAGCCTCACAAAAAAAACAGTCTTCAATAACTGTTGTGTCTTCAACATATCAAATGTAAACTATACAGTGGTCAATGCCATTACAATCAGCTACCTCATCAATCTGTATTGAAAAACGTCCACTTCTCATAATATAACACAATGTTACGTATACTTATACTCTCGATTACTTCCTAAAACAGCCAATGCTGTACGAGTTTCAATTCTGCAGTACTGCATGACATCTAAACTACCTCAACAAAAAGGAAAGGATTTTAACAATTTTTCTCCATATTTCATTTAAAATAGTTTTCATATAAACAACATGCACCCCTTCCCAGAGAGCCACTACTCACGCTTCCCTAGGGGGTGCACCACATATTTTTGGTACCTCTGTGCTATACCATTCTACTCAGCATGCAGGCTTCTTATGTGATTCAGACAGCCACACAGTAGTCATGATGCTGTGACAGAATGACCTCATTGTAAGTATGAGTAGTTACTTCTCAAGCAACACAGCAATGCAAATGTCTTGCTTGTAGATCCACAGAAACCATTCTTACCTGCGCTTAACATCATGCTTGGACTGATCAAATATTCTGTTAAGGCCACGCAGAAGGATTTTAGAATCTGGTACCAAAGTTTCCATAAGTCAGCAATGCAAAGATATAAGAAGAGATCTTTGTCAGTCCTCAGAGAGAGGTGGTTACAAACAACAGGAATTTTGATTAAGACCTAGAAGGAACTAAGACAGCATGTGAAGCATTCAGACTGACTGTTGGCAATTTTCTGGGCAGACACTAAGCAATGAACTAGAGAGGGTTGAAGAAATGCCTAGAGCATACAGAATGATTGGGTGCAACTTACTTACTTACTTATGGTGCTGAGCCCTTCTTGTGGAGAAGCCAAATCTGCAGCTACTCAACAATTTCTCAGCATTTTATGGAACCCCAAGGTTCAATGCCATATTCACAAGAGCCCTCCACTGGTCCCTATCCTGAGCCAGACCAATCTAATCCATATAATACCATCCTATCTCCATTTTAATACTGTCCACCCACCTACGCCTTGGTCTTCCCAGAGGTCTCTTTCCTTCTACATGCCCTGCCCACCTCATCCTCCTTGACGTGATCATTCTAATTATACTTGAAGAAGAGTACAAGTTATGAAGCTCCTCATTATGCAGTTCTCTCCAACCTCCTGTCACTTCATCCCTCTTCAGTCCAAATATTCTCCTCAACATCCTATTCTCAAACACCCTCAGTCTATGTTCCTCCCTTAATGTCAGAAACCAAGTTTCACACCCATACAGAACCATCAGCAAAATAAGAGTTCTGTATATTCTAATTTTTATGTTTTTGGACAGCAGACGAGAAGGCAAAAAGTTCTGGACTGAATAATAGCAAGCATTACCCAAGTTCAGTCTCCTCTTAATTTCATCCTCAATCAGGTTTCGATTTGTTACTGTCATTCCCAAATATCTGAACTGTACCACATTTTCAAAACATCGGTTTTCTATCATTATGTCATGATTTTGCCCTGTATTTTGGTGACAAGAGAGCAACATATACATAGTTTTCTCTGTGCTTACTTCTAGACCAACCTCCTTACTTGCATCAATTAAAGTTTATGTGTTTTTCTTTATAGTATATATATTATCACCCAGTAGATTCATATCATCAGCATAGACCAACAGTTGATATGTCCCATTTAATTTCAGTCCCACCTGGTTTTCCTGGACCTTCCTAATGGCAATTCTAAAGCAAATTGTTCAGCCCCCTTAAATATTATTTTCAGCTGAACATTTTCCTGACGATGAAGCTGTAGAAAGGGAAGTCACTGCTTGGTTCCGACAGCAGCCCAAATAATTTTATGCTGCTGGTTTTCAGGGGCTTGTAAAACGATGGAACAAGTGCCTCAATGTACAGAGAGATTATGTTGGGAAATAAAAGCATTCTTCAATTCTGTACTCTTATTTGTTTAAGTTCTATATCCATTTGTAACTGACTTATTGACTTACCTACGTATCTATTAATTTGTAACTTACTGTAACAGATCCATTATGTTCTAATGGAGCTTCCATGTGCTGTAAATTATTTATTTTCCTGCTATGTGCAGCTAATATGTAAGAAGCTAGGAAATGTATGGCGATGTCACAGCTCAGGAAGTTAGTCACTGCTATCCCAGTGGCCCGGGTTCAAGCCCAGATCAGGTTGTGTGGGATTTGTGGTGGACAAAATGGCAATGAAGCATATTTCTTCTCTAAGTAATTCGGTTTCCCCTGTCAATTTTCAGTCTACTGACTTCTACATACCCATCTGTCATCTAGAGCCTGGATAATTGGTCCAGTAGTGGCCTGCATACCAAGTGAACTCAGTCTCACACAATAACGATGCCAACGAGAGGAACGATGAGGATGAGGAGGAGGAGGAAGAAGAAATGTATGCCTAGCATAATAATTCTGATATGTTCACTCCCTACTACTTTTTTTAATGTTTCATTTTTTTAGTCTGACAAATACTTATCAATTTACATTCCAAATGTGGACAGAAACAATGTCTACTTCTTGTTGTCCATTTTAACTAAAACTGGAATATGTATACAAATTTTAGTAGAACTACTACTACCAGGTTTCGTCAAAATCTTTTCAGTGGTTCTCACAAACTCAGACTTCACTGCAGAAGTGTCAAATACCAGGTTTATTACCATGTAGAATCTGATGACAAGTTAGGAATTTCATACATAGCAAACGGTACTGATGAGTTCACTGTTATAAAAAACAAAAGAACAAACTCCATGGTTTTAGTCCGCAAGCAAACTCTGTTACTGCCTTGAAACTTTAAATATTTGTCAAATTTGTGAGAAGGCCTCCAATACACAATTTTATTCAAATCAATCTAATAGTTCTCAATTTAAGAGATAACACATTATAAAAGTTTCTTTTACTTTATTATATCAACAATTATAATACTTGTAGAAAAGTGTGCTGGGCATGAACTGTGTTAAATTTTTCATTACAACTTTTGTTTCAAAAATTTTTTGCTCCATTAAACATTTAGTGAGCTTTGCTTGAGATGTGTGCAGGAACAAATGTAGCTGTTATGGAAAGCATATGTCGCTGTCATGTGATTTTAACAAGAACTGGAATTTATTAAAAAATTTAGTCAAAGTCCCAATATCTAATTTCATGAAAATCCATCCAGCAGTTCTCAAGCAGATACATGCAGGCACACAAACAGAAAGACAGATATGGCAAAACTAACAGGCACATCTGTTTCAGTAAGTGGCATGTATTATTTTCTACTAAGTGAACAAGTCATACAGCTCACAAATTATGCCTTCATTAATTCAAGTTAACCCTGAGGTTTATTTGACAGGCATAAACCAACCACACAAGCAAGGTCAAGCCAATGTGTGCATTAATACTCCACCAAAGGCTGTTGATTCATAGGAAGACCTTGCTCCAAACAATAAGTAAACTTTTTTACTCACTACACATCATAAAACCAGCTCATGATGGAGCAACAATCTTAACTCAGCAATCAACTATGATTCATCATCACAACGAAATTTAAAACAAACAGACTAATTTTGTTTTAAAAGTCACATTCTGTATAATCTTTTCTGTCAGTCTCACAGTGGTCTTCAGCAACTACAAGTCAGAACATATTAATATATCGCTCCAGTCCCACACCCTTCCTTTAAATACATATGTTAATGCCATATTGGAAAAAGGTATGGAACAGTCAAGATTACATGCAAATACTCTACTGATAAATTTGTTATGAATTGAACAGACCCCATACTCTACTTATGCTTTACAGAAAATGAAAATATATAAATGGCAGACTAACCAATGTTCCTCTCATGTAAGTGAAACAAACTGATAACAAACTACGATTTGTATGTGAAAAAGTGTGCGTGTGCACACATGCACTAACGGCCGCACCCAGGCCACATAACCTATTACATAATTTACAATTTTTATTAAATTTATGATCAAATTGCAAGGCACAACGATGCTGTTCAAGTCCCAAGACTCCACTCAGAACCCTGGATAAAATAAGCAGTGAAGAACAACATGCATCATAATGCAGATTTGGTACAGGCAAATCCATCTGTGAAGACTATGCACATACATAGCATATAACAAAGTAAACTTACAGTCAATAAAACCCACAATTACAATAAAATAACACTGTACTGTAACTCTTTCAGTGCTATGAACAGCCAGTGAAACCTTAAGATGAGAAAATCTAGATGAAATTCAAATGCGGACCTAAGGCAATTTCCAGATACGATGAACCAAAACCAGAATAGTGGTAACCCTCACCTACTTTTTCAAATGGCTTCCCAATAACTTTACACCACATAATTTTCTGGCACCATACATCATTAACTGTAATTACGCAGGAATTCAATAACTATTTCCATTCTATTTTACTCATACTTTGTCAATAACCTACTGGATTCACACAAACTGCATCCAACTATACACTAAAACCTACATCCCTGTCACCATGTGAACTAAAAAGAAATTTCAAATTTCTGTCAGTCGCTAACATAAGAGCAGAGTTATTACTTACAGAACATTCTGTGCCTCAAGTTACAGTGTATTCTACCACTTTATAACAAAGCTCCTTAAATCCTTTAAATTAATTTAAAATCTCTGATTTATATGTCTGTGAAACAACGTAATTCAATACAGGGAGGATTAAGTTTGGATGATTTCTTGACTTGAGAATGGAGTGGGATGACATGCAAGCATGACGAAAATATAGAGCCTGGATTCAATGAGGAAAGCTTCTCATGATTTTTGTCAACCTAAAATTCCTGCTACTAAAAGAAAGAATGAAGCAAGGATGAAAGACAGAGAAGTAGCACAGTCCACTTGCACTTTCCTTGTATCACATGTTTCTTGAATCAGCTGCCATTAGTTGACCAAGGAAGGGTGGAGGGGGTGGGGAGCATGTATATGGAATATGAAGAATTGTATTAAACTTGAATGTATTTTATCAAATTTGTCAGTACATTACCTGCTTACTGTTGAGACATGCTCCTGTAACAATGCTCATTTCTGCATCAGACAGCTCACCCTCCCATGACATGGGTCTTTCTGGCTCATCAAAGCCATCCTGAGAGTCTTCACTTCCAACTACACGTTTTTTCTTGGTCCTTAAGTTTACACCTGCAACACCATCCATCCTGTCAATGTCACTTAACCTGACCTTGGCTAAAGCTACTCATACTTCCAATAGGTGATCCTGTACTGAAATATTATTTTCATACTCTTCACATAAAATAAAGGCCAAATAAGAATGACACTCCATTTAAAAATTATATACCATCTGCACCTTCTCCTAAAACCACATAAAAATGCTGCTTTAATCCACTGGCATACTGACAACTGTGAGGCACAGAATGATTATGCTTATAGTTAACAAAATTAATGGCTGTGACAAATTAATGCATGGAAGGTAGAATAGTTCACCTAGGCCAACAGAAGTACAGTGAGATTATACGGAAGCTATGCTGATACATCACCTTTCTGTTATGTGTGCTCACATTGGATGCATCTTTCATACTCAGTCAACTGGGCCAATAATATCGCAGAGTAAAGGTTCCTACTGGGCTGCTGACAGTATGTCTTCAAAGAATTAATTGTATCTGCATAAAGACTCATACTCATCCCCAATGTCAGGATTTACCAAATACTATTACATTATGGAGTACAAGATGTAGATTTTCTGATCTTCAGTAATTGTTGTTCACATATCCATTCAAAATAAAATAGGGAAAGAGTATGGAAACTAACAATCAAGCCCAACACTGTGTAATGACGGTAGATTTCAGTTACAGAAACTAGTAGATCACATGGCTACAGAGTGTGCAATACTATGGTTCTGTAGTTTACATTACAGTATCAAACATTTTATATGACTATCATGTGATACATAATTCCACTACAAAATGTCAAAGGAAATCCAGAAGAAAGTTTCCAGCTGTTTGAATCTGCAAGAGAAACGCTACTCAGAATGAAACAAGAACTTGTATGCTAACTGATGGGAAATCAAGCATTAACACAATAAAAGCTGGATTAAACTGGAGCTTGGCTTAAACATTTCCTTTGCAAGCCTCTTAAGTGTCTTGCACATGAAATAACAGGAATATCACACTGAACTGCAAAGACTGCACCAAAATTACAGGAACTATTACATTACAGAACCACAGTTGTCGCTGAGCAAGTTAGTACAAGGTCAATTTTTGAAAGACTTGTATTTGGGGGATCCTACATTTGAATCTCAGCCAGGACACCAGCTATCCTCAAGTTTTACATGGTTTCCCTCAGACCCTTCAGAGAAATTCTGGAACAGTACCTTGATAAGGCCAAGGGCTGCTTCCTTCCAAATCCTTTCCAATTTATTATTCACCAACCATCCTTCTATTTAACACTATACGAGATCCTGATAGCATTATAAATTGAACCCCTCCCCCAACACACACACACACACAGAGTTATAATTTTCTGCTGAAATACAACCAATAATTTCTGTATCTGACAATTTCAGTCAATTCATGATGGCAAACTTCATCCTGAGTTCACAATTTTCAGAAGATGCTTTATTTTATTTGGACATGGAAACCAAAAAACGAATAGTGGAATATGGGAAATACACATCTTATGCACAAAGTTCCACTCCATAACATAGAAGCTGGTGTCTGGTGTGCCCTGAGAGCAAGGATTATGGATCCTGTGTCTTAATACAATAGCATTATTTCTAGAATATGTGTCCTGCAAAGGACCCAGCAACCTGCACCCTACAGTGTTACTGCTGGGTAGGAAAGGCAGCAATCAATGGAGATAGGATAGAGGAAAAGCCATATTCTGGCACAGCTGCCAAATATTCTCCCTGCTATCTATATACTACGAGTATGCCCGGTGATATAATTGAGGCATTCACATTGTAATGTTATAATTAATTTCATATAGATATTTTGAGTACACATATGAAATAGCATGGTAAAGCATCAAATTCATTCTATGATGCTAATAGTAACTGACTCTGATACAACATGCTATTGATGGTCCCTCTAGAAAAATTATAGGAACCATATTCTGTTTATTAGCCCACTACATTCCCCTCCAAATGACACACTGCTTACAACTGCAGCTCTGTTTCAAATGGGAGTATGTTCTCATAATTTCCTTCCATTTTCTGCGGAATTTCATAACTAAATTCTCCTTATAGTCAATATAAAAAAACAATGCAGGATAACAGAAAATCCTATTCCATTTCATTCTTTCTTTTTTGGAATCCTATTCGATTTTTCCCTAATCTCCCCCCCCTTCAGATAGACAAAATTATGCCACTTCTTTTACATCTACAATGTTGATTACTCTCAATAAAAAATGTACCTATGATTCACTTTTTATGAAGAAACTTTACTAGTAATATTAACCCAATACAGTTTCTCAAGTAATAATATACAGAACACAAAAACAAATCCAAAAAAAGAAAAGCATTCTATTTCATTCCATGCAAATTAACCTGCCTCTTACATCATGAGAACACAAATTATAATTCTTACATTTTTGCAAACCAACTTTTATGTTCTATCTGAAATACTGTTTCAGATGGCATGATGATTTACCAAAACTGCACAATGCATTAGCAAGTGATGCCTTCTTAAATTATAATTATAGGCTTACACGTTTAGCAGTTGCATACTGCAGTCTCCCCACACTAGTCCTTGTACATGCTTTTCACATCAGTATTTATTTCTATTGCTAATCCAATGTTCTAACACCAATAAACATTAGGATGTTCTGCATGGCAAATGACTGACCTGGCCAGACACATAATGAATCATTCACAAGTTACAACACAGCTACTGGGCAGAGGGCCACTGATACAACAGTAAAGCCTGAAGAATGGTAAACACTGTTATTTTAAGTCAGATATCAAGTTTCATAAGATGAAGGGGAAACAAAAATGCCTCTCACCAACGTACCTGTAAAATCTATCTTACTGACTTCCCCATCAGAGCCTGAGACATCATCCTCCTCATCTTCAATGGGCATTGTCATCCCCCCAACCCCCGTGTTACCTCCAGACAAGTCACACTTTCCGGTGGATTGCACCACACCTTGCCCAGAGACCACAGACCCTGAAACAAAAAAATAATTTCAATTTCAAAAACCTATCAAATGATTTTATCGATAATAAAATATCACTAGGTAAAGATAAAGCTGGCCAGTCACGGTAGCCAAGCGGTCTAAGGCATGTACTGTCTTCGCTCGCTTGGAAACTGGGATCATGGTTCGAATCCCACTAAGGGCATGGATGTTTAGTTTGTGTGTGTGCGTTTTTCTGTGTTTGTGTACAGGTAGAGATCTTGCGACGAGCTGATCACACGCCCAAGGAGTCCTACCGAATGTGTAAGATCTAGAAAACCGAAGTGAACAGAGAAGTTCATGGAGGTACGCCTAGGCCCACTGGGACTGCAGTGCCAAGGAAAGAAAAAAAAAAAGGTAAAGTTGTCCCTGGGTAGAGGCCTTGCGACAAGCTGATCACCCACCCAAGGAGTCCTACCGAATGTGTAGGATCAAGAAAAACCTAAGTGAACGGAGAAGTTCATGGAGTAAGGCCTAGGCCCACTGGGGCTGTAGTGCCAAGGGGGGGGGAAGTTGTCCCTGTGCTTAACTAATTAAGTACTACGCCATGAAGGCAAATGGGCCAATGGATGTATACATCCACATTTTCTTCACCTCAGCACTAGCTGGAGGTCAGTGGTCAGCTTCACGCACTATGCCACTTTAGCCGGGGGGAAAGAGCCCCTGGTACCCACTGGATAGGAGGTTGGGTGGACCCCAGAGCCAATCTGGACAACATGGAGAAGAGGAAATTCTTGACCTTACTGAGACTCGAACTCTGACATCTCGGTCGTCCAGCCCATAGCCAGTTGCTATACCAATGCTATCCTGGCTACCAAAATATCACTAGGTCAATCCAAAATTTACATGTTTATAATGACACACAGAAATAGAATAACTCAGTCCTTGTGTATTCAGGATTATAATTACTACATTCAAAAAGTTAATATAATATTTCAAAAGTCAATCATCAGTTATGAGATACAAACAGCAATTGTAATACTATACTGTGAAATTTCTTAGACCATTATTTGGAGTAATTCTCAAAGGCAGACTAAAAAATGAGCAATAAAAAGCACAACTGTATTCTGGAATGTGACACTGTGTAGTCTGGTAGAAGCTTGCTGATGTTTCAAAGGAAGATAATGGATCCATTTTAAGGTGAAGGTGGATGAGATGGAAAGGGCGGGGGGGGGGAAGACTAAATGAATAATATGAATACAGCAATTGTTATCTACTCACCATTGCAAGACTGATAATACTTGATAGTTTTTCCTGAAATAAAAAATTAAAATCATGAACTTAAATCAGTGCAACAGGACGCTAAAATATAACATTAAAAATTAAGGGATTATTAATTTTAATGCATTTAATTAATAAGCACGTGCATATGAAATCCTCATCCTTGTGATCAGACAATACAACTACAGGAGATTCTTGATGGTGCCAGTATATGAGCTCTGATAATTACTGTTAACAGAATGATTTATAAAATGTTTTTAAGTAAGTTTATAAAAAAGAAAAAAAAAAGGTACAAAGAACACATTTCTGTATAACTTATTTCTTAAAGGGGAAGGAAGATGTTAAAGATGACATAAGACAGGGCCATATGACGGCTTCAACAGCTAATCTGAATGTGACACGAGTGGATCAAGTAGCAAAACTATGATGCAGTTTACTGGCTGCTCAGAAGTCAGGTGATGAGTACTGTCATAGAGTCATTGTGACTGAGGGTCTGAGAAATTAAGGAAGTCTATGTAGAGATGATGCCAAAAGATTAAGAAAGGGTCAAAAATGGAGAAGGAAATAAATTTCTGCGGGCCTCTCAAAAAGAAAATTGTAATTGATGATGAGATCTGGGTTTTCTAGTACAACTCAGTACCAAGTAGAAGTCCTTCCTCCTCAATCATTTTCAGCTCACAATTTAATGTTCTGCAACTGACACAACAAACTCCATGGAGCAAAGTTCCTCAAGAAGACAAACCAGCCAGCTTGTCAAGAAATTCTCCACCTTTCATGGAACCAAAGGGTTTTTTACTGTGTACAAAACAAGAGCCTATCATCAATGTCCATTATGAGCCAGATGAATCAAATCCACTGCTGCTGGTATCTTTCATTCATTATTTCATGTTGCTCCCTTTGGAGCACAGGGCAACTGTGAAACGTTTTGTTTTACTCCAGTTTCTTAATCTTACAGACAGCTGGCAGGACTCCTTGGATGGGTGATCAGGCTGTCACAAGGCCACTACTAAGACAGGACAACACAAACACAGAATAAACGCAGACAATCGTCCACGTCTCGAATTGGATTAAAACCCACAGCTCCAGTCTTCAACCAGGTGAAGACAGTTCATGCCTTGCATTGCACGGCCAATGTGCCTGGCACTAAAGGTATACTGTGGGTTTAATAATACGGAACATGTGCTTAGTTTGTGGTTCTATTTAGCATCATTCTCTGAAAGATTCTGAATGTGTTCATTCATGTTTTGTTCACACCTTGGTTATGACTGAGAAACGCAATGTCAGAATCAGGTTTCACATAGGGTTATTCGGTTATATCGATAAATCTATATGATGTCAAGTAACAGAATTTGGTCACAGAATTACTTGGTTTTTAGACTTTTTTTCATCATCTGGAATTCTAGGAAATAGAAAACAACACGTTTCGGAAACTGCATCTGTTTCGGTCTTCAGGTGAAGAAGGAAGAGGCCTACTCAGTTCGGCCCCTTAGAATGAGCTGATCTCAAGGGGCCCAACAGCGTGTCTAGACGCTGTGGAGGAGAGAAAGCGCTCCGGTCCCTTGCAACTGTACTTTATATTTAAATACGACTATCTATAATGGAAGTAAAGGCAATATACTTTATAATGTTTAACAGTTAATTTAATTCGTAAAGGCCGCGCCATAGCTCAAGCGGTTAGTCGCTGGCTTCCCACCGCGGCGGCCCGGGTTCGAACCCGGGCCGCCGCGGTGGGAAGCCAGCGACTAACCGCTTGAGCTATGGCGCGGCCTTTACGAATTAAATTAATTTAATTCGTAAAGGCCGCGCCATAGCTCAAGCGGTTAGTCGCTGGCTTCCCACCGCGGCGGCCCGGGTTCGAACCCGGGCCGCCGCGGTGGGAAGCCAGCGACTAACCGCTTGAGCTATGGCGCGGCCTTTACGAATTAAATTAATTTAATTCGTACGTGAACATTTGAAAAATTCTATCGCACAGATGATTCAGTACCGATATTAGTCACTGGCCGACACCCACAATTGCACATTAACGACCCTAGTTTTCTGGGCATGTCACATTCATGATGCGAGTGTTGCATCATGTAAGTTCATAAACACATACAAAAAGAAACGGTTTACGAATGATAACAATTTTAGCTGATACGTGAGGCACGTCTTAGTCATTTCTCCACTGGACTTCTTGTTTTCTTCAGGGAAAGGGACGATTTTACTGCAATCGAATGGTTCGTTCTCTCTTTTGTACTTTCCGTCACGTAGCGAGAAAGCAAGACCGAAAGTACCAACAGCAGCAAAACAAACAATGACACAAGGTGCAACAGCCTGCCGACATTTCATTGCATTCATCAAGAGTGCGTGAGGGCAATGGAAATACGCTCCTACAGGGTCGGCACACCCATTCAGTGAAGCGATGTGTGCAGTACAAAGAAGAAATATGTAATATAAAACGTTCGCTGTAGTCATAAAATATGTCTGAAACACGTTCCATCCTATTCATTATTTACCAGTACACAATGAAACCTATGACATGACTGCAGTGACTGGACTTTCTTTGGAAGTGCAAAATCTCTTCATCTACAGACAGTTGGTTAAGAACCACAGATCGAAAAATTGGGAGACTGCCAGCAGTCCAACGGAAATTCCAAATATTACTATCTGTCTATGGCTCTACAGTCCTTTGTTGAACAATGGCCGCTTTTTCAGTTTCTTAATCCTATACACAGTCGGTATGACTCCTTGGACGGGGAATCAGCCTGTCGCGAGGCTGCTACCTACACACAGAACACAAACACAGAATAAATGCACACAGACATCCATGCCTTGAGTGGGATTCGAAAACACGATCCCAAGCGTTCGAGCGAGTGAAGACTGTCCATGGTCTCAGATCGCGTGGCCACTGTGATCGGCTCCAAATATTACTATCCATCCATGGCTCTAATGCTCTTTGTTGGCCTTTCGCCGCATTTTCAGTTTCTTGATCCTATACACACCGCCTCTGTGGTCTATTGGTCAGAGTTTCTGGCTACAGATCCACAGGTCCGTGTTCGATTCCCGGCTCTACAAGATTTTTTTCTGAGAAGTACTGGATCTGGAACGGGGTCCACTCAGCCTCGTGAGGATAATTGAGGAGCTATTTCAAGGAAATAGCGGATCCGGCCTAGAAAACCGAAATTAACGGGGATTTGTTGCGCTGACCACGCGACACCCTCTATCCGCTAAAGCTGGCACTAAAATTCGCCGACAAGCGGCGGTCGCTCGGTCGGTATAGTTAGCTTGCGGACTAAAATCACAGATTTTCTTTGTATACACAGTCGGTAGGACTCCTTGGACGAGAGATCAGCCCGTCGCAATCCAAATATTACTACCATGTCATTAACAGAAGGGTTCACTGTACTTTACGAGTATACTGTGAGAACTCCATTGTCCACTGATCGCAAAAGAAGAGCAGAAAGGGTGTTTTGGCAAGTTCTTACAAGGGGCAAATTTGTGGACACTCTTTCATTTGTACAGACTAGTATAGAAAAATCATTTTTCTGTCTGACATGGAAAGGTCAAGGCATCTACAAAACCACAGCATAAAATGTGCAGTGGACAAGATACAAAACTTAATGGTGGTCAAGTTAAAGAGAGGTCATCATGTGTAAATGAATAATATTTTGTCGGTTCCTTTAAAATGTGTGGACTGGATTCAGCCTCTCAGGATTAGAGGCCATAGGCGGGTTTCTGAACACGTTAATGAAATTTACAGATCCATAAAAGACCAGTACAATTTTAAAATGACCTTCTCAATATATCAACTCCATGGAGTTAGTTATAAACTGAGTTTTGAGTGTTCTTGAAAAGGAGTACCCCATTACGTCCATATCTGATCCATAAACTAAAATAAGGTCTCTCAAGTTATCAAGAATCATTCAGTTTGGTAGGAATCTTACAAAAGTAGAAGCAAGGACGGACAGACAAATGAACGCAAATGACAAAGCTAACACAACACGCCCGTGACCGTGAAAGCACAGAGCTTCCTACTGGCTATCTATGAACACTGCGTCACTCTTCAGATTTAATTAATTTTAACCGGGAGTCATGACCCCAGCTGTACAAGCCTCCGCTTAAAAATAACGTGCATTACAAGCACTCGCTGTTGCCGTGACGCATATCAGAGTTCCGAATGACTGAATGAAATTGCAGTTCGTGGTGCTCTCTGTTCGTGGAGGGACGCCGGAGGTGGGTGCGTTGTCTCGCATAAGAACATCAAGTACCTCGTTTGCCCCAAATCAGAAAAAGGCTGCAATATAACCACTCTACTTAAATGACGCTAGTCCTGGAACCAGAGCAAGTCATACCTTGCGCTAACAACCCTGCCAGTGAAAAGTTCTGTGTTGAACACAGTATCTCGTATGGCGAATCTAGCGACCTTCTTTCAGAGTTTGACCGAATGAATGCCAACAGTCACGAAATCCTCCACATAATTACATATACACAAAGTTTCAGTGCCCTGAGACAAATAAATAAATAAACAAACCTATCTGTAGTATGTTAACACGGAAGTAATACGTCATATCATAGGTCAGCCGGTTAGTCGCTGGCTTCCCACCGCGGCGGCCGGGGTTCCAGCACGGGTCAGGTCATGTGGGATTTGTGGTGGACAAAGTTGCAAGTGGGGAAGTTTTCTCCGAGTACTTCGGTTTCCCCTGCCAACCTTCATTCCATCAATTTTACCGCACACAACAGAACCGAAACATCTATAGGGGGTTTTGAAAATTAGTGTATCTACAGTTGTAGCCACGCTGAAGAAATTTTCTCTACATACAAGGTGCTATGTAAGTACATATATGAAGTATCATTTCTTTCGTGTTTTCACAGAACTTAAGGTTAACCAATCATAAACATATGTTACATGAAATTCTTTCTCATGTTTAAAATTTATGAACTGACTGAAGAGCGTGGGTATAAAGTTTCACATATACCACAATACCATAGTGGGTAGACGTGTCCAAAAGGGGCAATTATAAACAGCTGGAACTGAACGTAAATTTATACAGACA